CAGTTTGCACTGCAAAGGCTGAAAACTGTGAAAGCACGTGTACCGCGCGTGGCAAAAAAAAAGGACTGCGGCAAAAGAAACCTGTGTAACGGCTCCTGTGCGACTTAGTCTTTTTTTCCGTTTTAGTAATAATTTTTTTTTTTTTTTTTTTTTTTTTAGGAAACTTTTTTTTTTTTTTTGTACACATATTAAAAAGAGTTGGCACCTATGAATTCAGGGGATGGCCCACGCCTGGTAAAAAGAAAAAGAAAGAAAAAAGAATGTCTGGCACCTATGAATTCAGGGGATGGCCCACGCCTGGTAAAAAGAAAAAGAAATCATATTTACAAAGAAAACTAAAGAAAAAGAATGTTTGGCACCTATGAATTCAGGGGATGGCCCACGCCTGGTAAAAAGAAAAAGAAAAAAAGTTAGTCTTTGCATGTAACGCCCTGCGTGCGGCAAACATGTGCCAATGTAACGCTTCATGGCCTCACTGCGGCAAGATATATTGCCAGTACGGTAGTACAAACACCTAGTATTTTTTTTAGTAGTAGTATTCTTTTATTTTCCATCGGAAGCCTCAACAGTGATGAACACAACTCTTAAGAGGGCCGATAACAGGGTAGAGGGGTTTGGGGTGAGAAAAAAAAATGATAATAATAAGAGATATTTAAACTAAACTAAACTGATACTTGGAACAATAAAGCAGCAGTAAGCAGTAAGCAGTAAACACAGGTATACAATACAAGCGATGCAGATCAATGAGGCCGTTTGCTGAAAAGAAGATCTAAATACTTCTGAAAAGACGCTGCGTCTTTAAGCATGGTCATAATGGGATAGTGCAAGAATTAAAGAGATGTTTTTAAAAACGAATTTAAACTAGGAACGCAGTAAACACAGTTATACAATACAGGCGGTGTAGATCAATGAGGGAGTTTGCTGAAAAGAAGATCAAAATACTTCTGAAAAGACGCTGCGTCTTTTAGCATGGTCTGAAGGTGCTTAGCAAATGTAGTGCGGTGCTGGGTGCGCCACTCCACAGGCAAAGAATTAAAGAACAGGGCAGCACGATTTGAAAAGGAATTGACACCGTCAGTCGTCCGGAATTTAGATATTGCAATAGCAGCATTTAAAGAGCTTCTTGTTGTCCTAGGGCCGGTTGAAACTTGAGGGAAAAGGTCCGTCAGATTTGGGAGAGGGAAAACGACATGATTAACATGGATAAATTTAGCAATGCTACGAATAAGGTAATGTTCAAACGGATCAATCGACAATCTAGCTAACAGCGGCATGACGTCCTCTTGTAGTTTCGAGCCACAAGCAGCGCGTACAGAACGACGATAAACGGACGAGAGTCGCTGTCGGTCCTTGGCGGATAGCTTCATTGCAAAGCAAGAGCAGCAGTATAATAAGTCAGGCAGGATAACCGAGAGGATAAACTGCCGTGTTGCCTTCAAACTTAGTTGCCGAAAACACCGTCGAAGAGCGCCAATTTTCGTGCAAGTCTTCCTAACGATAAAGTCTATGTGACCAGACCAAGAAACATCACTGTCTACAATGACTCCCAGGATTCTCGTGCTAGACACTTGAGTCAGAGGCTGTTGGTTAAAAACGATTGGAGTTGAGAGGGGTTGAGAAGACTTAGAAATCATCAAAGTTACAGTCTTTGTTGTATTAATGCGCAGCCCAAGCTCGTCTAGATCCACAGAAATTGCAGATAACGAATCAGTAACGGTAGCGACGGCCTCAGCTTGTGTACGTCTGCTGGCATACAACGTCATGTCGTCAGCGAACATCGGGAGCTTGCAAGAAAAGGCCTCTGCTGTCAATGGGAGCTTCCGTACATATATGTTAAATAGCACCGGACCCAGAATGGTGCCCTGTGGCACGCCACTAGTGATTGCCACCAACGGAGATGTTCCAGTGTGGGTAACCACCCGCTGTTGTCTGGCATAAAGGTATGATCGGAACCAGGCCAGGGCCACTCCCGAAATACCGACAGCTGCGAGAGCAAGAAGAAGCTGTTGATGCTTCACCATATCGAACGCTTTTTTCAAATCAATACAGACAACCGCCGTATGCAGTCCAGCGTCGCGCGAGACAAGCCAGTCGTTCGTAACCTTGGTGAGAAGCTGTCCGGTAGAACGGTGCTTCCGAAAGCCAAACTGGTCCACATGGAATGGGCAACGATCATTAAAAAAAAGATGTATACGAGAAAACACAAGCCCTTCCAGGAGCTTGGCTAGGATAGATGTTAAAGACACTGGGCGGTAGTTAGAAGTGCAGTCGCGGGGGCCTCGAGTTGACTTCAGAATTGGTGTAATGTTTGCAATTTTGAACAAGGATGGGAATTGACCAGACGAGAGGGAAGTGTTGAATAAGATAGCAAGTGATAGAGCAATTACGTCTTTTGATATTTTAAGTAGACACGGAAGAATGCCGTCCGGTCCAGGGGCTTTATTACTTTGGAGGTCACCGATCCGAAGCTTCACCTCTGCTACTGTAACGGCTGAAAACGTAGTAAGGTCGTCGGATTTAGCAGGTCCCATTGGGAGCTTGTAATTCGCTTCCTTATCTGTGACAATCGAGTGAAAATAGTCGTTCAATCGCTCAGGTGGGATGGTAACCGTTTGCTTCGGAGAGGAACGCTTTGTGATCATATTCAAGGCTTTCCAGAACTGCCGAGGCTCCCGTTCATACCGCTGGCACTGGTCTGAAAAGTAAAGATTCTGTAGGTGTCGATACAAGTTATTGCACTGGTTGCGCAGCCGCTTGAAGTGTACAGATAGGCTCTCGTCTCGAAAGTTAGTAGCTTTTAGTTTCTTGAAGACCGATTTGCGCTTTCTAATCAAGGCAAGGAGGGGCGAGGTCATGAACGGGCAATTTTTCCGACGGGACTTCCTGTGTTTCCTGGTTACGTACGGTGCGATGCTATCAAGCACGGCATTGACTTTCCCTGTCCACTCGTCCAACATCAGGTCTGGGGTACGGGATGTAAAGATATGAAGATCGGAGGACAGCAGCATATCGCAGAAACGCTGAGCGTTGAAGTTCCGGTAGTCTCTGCGTGTTTGATGGGTAGTAGTATTGCTCCGCGCATCCATGATGGGCACTGGGATGGAAGTAATGACGAGGCGATGGTCTGAAAACTCACAGTCCACGACAGAGGCTGACGGAACTCGATCAATGTTTGTGAGAATACAGTCAATGGATGTACGGGTAGAGCCTGTTATTCTTGTTGCTTCAGTTACTTTATTGGCCAGTCTGCACGGAAGTAGCAACGTGTCTTTGAGATGGTGGAACGCACTGGACGTCTGACGCAGAAAGTCCACATTTATGTCACCTAGCAACACAATATTCTCGCCGTCCAGCTGCTCCGTGGATGTAGCGAGCCGATTCCAAAACTCTACCGGCTCGGATGGGGGACGGTATATGCAACCAAACAAGGTACTATCTTTGCCTGTGCCAGCTCTAAGCCACATCAACTCTAGACTGGAGTGTGAGCGGTCCAAGATGTGCTTAGCCTTAACATGTTCCTTTACGAAGATGCAGATCCCGCCTCCTTTACGACATGGAGTGCAGGAGGATAGGCAAGTGCATCCATCAGCGCACGGCCTGTCTCGACGTAAGAGAATTGTGCCTGGTACAGAAACCTCAGTGTCCGAGATGCTTGAGTCGAGCCACGTTTCCGTAACCGCCAGCAGATCTAGGCAGTGCTCATCTATTAGCTTAGTTATAACATGGGTTTTATGTCGTAGGCTGCAAATGTTTATGTGGCCAACATTTAGTCGGTTGGATGGATGAATTGTAGAGTAGAATGCTGGGGTTGAGGGATTTGGAGACGAAGGGGTGAACACAGGAGCATGCGGGTTCAGGGGCTGTGAATACCGGTAGGTGGTGTGTGGCATTATGTGAGTGCTGGAGCTGTGCCGTCAGCACCAAAGCGCCATTCACGAACTGCAAAACCGAGCGAGTCCGGCCAAAATGCTTTGTCCTGTACGGTGGTGGCGTCCGACGCCAGCACTGTGACCCTGGCAAACCCTGTTCGGAAGCGCTCCGAGGTGTACACAACACTCTGCACGATGTGTACATCCTGTGCCTGACAATGCTCTGCAATTGATTTGGCATCACATTCGGGGTCCACGTTGCCAACGTAGAACACTTTGACTCTTGGCTTACCCGTTAGTGCACATCGGGTGGTGCTCTTTGGAAGCTTGGGTGCCAGCCAGCGAGACGATTCCTGTCGCCTGTACGGCTTGGGAGGCTGGCGTTGTGGCCTTTGGGCAGCTGGGGCAGCTGCAGGGGCAGTATTTTTGGGCTGCAATGCTGGTTGTTGGTGCAAAGTTTCTGCATACGTGGGTCGATGTTGTGGGGTGGAGGATACGGTTTTGGTAAAGCTTGGTTCAGTGGGGTCATTGTTCAAAGTTTGAATCACCGTATCGTACCTCTCAACTTTGGCATGCAGGTCGTTCCTAAGTTCCCGTACTTCCGTCTTCAGGCACAACACCTCTCTGGCAGAATCGTTGAATTTAGCTTCTATTTCTCTCATGGCGTGTAACTCAGTCTTCAACTCTCGGACGACATTAGTGAGTTCAGACAGAGCTGAGCACAGGCTGGCAACAACACCCTCATTAGCAGCCAGGGGGCTCGTGCTAGTAGGTTCACTTACTTCTTTGTCCTCATCCAGCGATGTTCTGAGCAGGGCAACAAGATCGGGTCTGGTGGCTTTTCGTGGGATTTCCAGTCCACGCTGCCTGATGAGGTCCCTCAGCTCCCCGTCGATCAGGACTGCAATGTCCACTTCAGCAGCGGGCTTATTAGCCATTTTATTACTAAATAAAGGACTTTTCCGGTGGCCTAAAGCCCAGGAAATTACAAAAAAGGCCGCTTTTCGGGAGCCAAAAAAGGTGCTGCCGCCCGTACGAAAAATCCAATCCCCCTACACTACAGTCTGAAAATCACTCATTGGCATAATGCATGCATGCTGTCGGGAAAAAGAGCGAAAATTTGAATCGTTTCACTTCACCATCTTCCACCGACCCGAAGTCACTGCAAGTGTAAGGTGTGTATCGTGATAATAGTTGGTACTGGTAGGCCAAGACTTGGTGGTAAGCTGAGCTGCCTGGATGTGCGCAGTAGTCCTTGTTGCAACAGGCAACAATTCAGTATTCATCATTCCCTGCTGAAATACCCAGTTGGAATCTCGTGCCGGGCTAGCCCCTAACGACTTTACGCAGCTGTTAGTTGTGACGGGGTGCTAACGCAGCCGAGTAGCCGATTTTAGCGAATTCAAATAAAGAAAACAACAACTGATCCACGAGTAACGACTAGGCCTAGGCTAGAGTAGATCTACTAGTAGTAGTAGATCTACTAGTAGTAGTCGAGCGTGGAGACCAGACTACATAGCCCGCCGCGCAGGGGCTGATATTGGATGGCGTTCTCGAGTGAGGAGAAAATCTAGATGACGCGACGTGGCGGCGGCGTTTGGCAACTGTTTTGCTGTCCACTAACTGACTACGTAGTGTGTACAGGAGAGTTTCGCACTCGTAGACCGTCGTGGAGCGATAATGAAGTTAGCTGAATTGTTTCTCGCAGCGGTGCAGCGCACTGTGTGGCTGGGTGTGATTACTTTCGCGGCCGTTTTCCTGTCAAGAATAGCACTTGCGAGCAATGCTGATAGCGACTCTCCTCTCCGGCCCGCAACTAGGTCTGAAAATGCAGAGAGATCGCAAGAGGGCGCGAAACAATTGGACGAGTTGGAGCAAAGAGCTGCTCAGCACTCATGCTGGAAGCATGCCGTTGAGAGCTTGAGAAGCAGCTGTGCCGATCTGAATGATGTCCGTCAGGGCTACCTGGCTCTCTCATTGACCAACTGTCATCTAGAGCAGTATGGACGCAGCACCTACCCGTGCACATCCGATCTGAGTCTGCAGGACTGCACGAGGGGAATGGACGGCGAGGCGTTCAATGCACTGTCCACGTTCACTGCCCACACCAGCAACATCTGCTTCTTCCTGGCCGGGCAGCTGTGGCAGGAGCGCACGGAGAGAACCGTGAACGACCTCTCCGCCACTTCACAGCACGTCGTCGGGCAGCTGAACGAATCCGCCAAGCAGAATGAACAGCTGCTGAAGATGCAGCAGTCGGCGCTGCAAAACCAAGACGCACTGCTTAGCAACGGAAATCAGTTACAGAACGACTTAGAGCTTGCCCGTAAGGAGGCAGAAGGAGCTCGGAAAGAGGCCGAAGCACAGTCGGAGATATGGCAGCGAAACTTTGGCAACCTGTTCACCGTCCTGGCGAGAAACGAGGCCTGGTTGTCGACGATTGGAACGGATTGGATGACTGCAAAGATGTTCCTGACCTACACTGCGCTATTCATTGTTGCTATCTTCATAACCAACTCATCCATGACCAGTGGTGCTCGGTTGCCTCTCATTGCCCTGTGTGTTGCGGGGTTCCTTGTGGAGATCTTCTGCCAGAGATTGGCGGCATGGTGGACAGGAGACCCAATGGTAAGGCTCAGGACCGCCAGAAGCAATCTTTGATTGGTCTGGTCATACCATCGTCTTTCATTATTTGTGTATGAGAGCGGGTAAACATGACCTCAGCAGTGTACACATGTCCGAGGCCATAATGTTGGTCCGGCGATGACCGGACCAACCGGATTGGTTCCGACGGGCCTGTAAGTGCTGGACAGATCCAGGGCTGGGCCGTAACTTGATGTGCATACTACCGTGAGTGCTTGCCGGCCTGCCAAATCTACACAGCCGGCACCACCCATAGGGCCATACACACAGGCTACACCTGTGACCCGCTTACCCAGTATACCGCCATGCAGCCTGTACACACGTGACCCGCTTACCCAGTATACTGCCATGCAGCCTGTACACCCGTGACCCCGTCCGTACCAATCTCTGGTAGGAATAGCACCAGTACACGGTGTTGGCAGCAAGCGATCCTCTGGCACTCAGCCAACATATTACCAGAAATACCAGGAGGTACATCCCGAGACTAGCTCAGCTTTATCTATCTATCTGCACAGCAGGGAGAGAGTGAGAGACAAAGAGAGAGTGAGAGAGTGAGTGAGAGAGAGAGTGAGAGAGAGAGAGAGAGAGAGAGAGAGAGAGAGAGAGAGAGAGAGAGAGAGAGAGAGAGAGAGAGAGAGAGAGAGAGAGAGAGGAGAGGGAGAGAGAGAGGGGGGGGAGAGGGAGAGAGAGAGAGGGGGGGGGGAGAGGGAGAGAGAGAGAGAGAGAGAGAGAGAGAGAGAGAGAGAGAGAGAGAGAGAGAGAGAGAGAGAGAGAGAGAGAGAGAGAGAGAGAGAGAGAGAGAGAGAGAGAGGAAGCGCTCCGACTCAGAGCTTCATGTTCACTCATGATCATCTGGCAGTACGGAAAGCTCTGCCTTATAAGGGCAGTGAGCATTCCGCGAGCAGTGCAGCACTACACTTGATTACGTTACCGTAGAATCCCGCGGATAAGCCCATGGGCTTATTTGTTTAACAAGGACGTTTCGGTGGGCTTATACGAGAACATGGGCTTATACGCATGCGTGGGCTTATACGCTGACACCAAACCTGTGCGATTGAAAAGTATCAAGGAAGAGAGAAGTACATTGCTGAAAACCACTGTGCAAACAAAAACCACAGATGATTGTGTTGAAATGTACAAAAAAACTACATGTACGTATGAGCTAGGCCCATGGGCTTCAAGTGTACGATGAAGCTTTGTGATGTTTGAACTAACCCAGGGCTTATGCGCGAGCATGGGTTTATACGCGGGTGGGCTTATCCACGGGATTCTACGTTATATCCCTCCCCTCCGGCTCCCTGTCGCCCTGCCTGTCTCTCTGTCTCCGAGAGGGCAAGATAAATGGACAAAGAGTTGTATGTCGACGCGCTATGTGTGTGTGACTCTCTCTCTCTTGCTCTCTTTTTCTCTCCCCTTTAGCCATCTCGTTCTGTCTATAACTCTAGTGATTTACTGCTCTATGTACTGTTTTCACAACCCATACTTGCTATTGCAATCCTCTATTTGTTCTGTTTGGCCGTCTCATCATCACATATTCAAGTTGGCAGAAACTTGTTGCGTAGTCATCATCGCAAAATCGTGTTACATTGTACATGCAGTGGTGTGCAGTTCTCTCCCCGCTGTTTGTCTTGTCCTTTCATTTTGTTTTGATGGTTAGGGCTCATTGCATCCTGATTTATGTGCATCTTGTCTCTGTGCGAAGGTGACCGTACCCGGAATGAACTGGTATATTCGACAAGGTGTGTTCCTCGCAGGTGCTATCTTTCTGTGTTGGACTGCAGTTGTCTTCAGAGACCCCTCCAAACGACTGGAGCGCATGGAGAAGCACATTGAGGAGGTACATTCTCGGCTGATTGGAGGCAGTGCGCAGCCAGTAGGTAAGTGATGGTGGTAATCTTGTGAGCACTCTACAATGTACACGTGGCAACTTCACTATAGAACCGAAGTTGTGCGATAGGAATGTTGCACATCTGATACATAGACGACCCTGTGCTTACTGGGTGTCTGCATGTGACTGGCTGTCGGAAGGTGTGCCTGGATGAGTGCATATAGGGTTGTGATTGCGTATAGGGGTCATGACTGCTTATAGGGGTGGTGCCTGCTTATAGGGGTTATGACTGTGTATAGGGTTTGTGACTGCCTGTATTGGTCATGACTGCTTTTAAGGATGGTGACTGCTTATAGGGTTTATGACTGCTTATGGGGTTAGTGATTGATTACAGGGGTGGTGACTGCTTGTAGCGATACATTGTAGGGCTATCTCTTACCTTAGAAGGAGGCAGTTTTTGCTAAGGGTGTCTAATACTAGTACTCACTCCATGTGAACGATTTTGATCCAGCAGGCCACTACAGTACTACAGCTGGGCAGTGGGGGGGGGGGGGGGGGGCTTGAAACCATCATCCCAATCCAGGAGTTCATGACGTTTAGGTGGTTGGTGCTGTCGACCTGCACGCTGACCAAAGGTGTACAGGTTGCAATCAGTGGGCTATTTTTTAGCAAATCCCCCTGTCACCTACAACATGCCTATGATTGCCTGGTTCTCTCACACAGGAGCAACCAATGGGAGCCTACATAGAACCACTACCACAGCGAGCATGCCAAACCTGTCACCACGGCTTAGCGCGCAACAACCACCGACCCCATACGGCCCAATGATTATGTCACCAGCACCTGCACACCCGCCCACGTTCAATCTAGCTCAGCCATACAACACCACTGGCGGCGAGGTCCCCGCGTCGGCAAGCACGCCGTGGCAACCAATCACGAGCAGCCACGACCGTGGCCGGGCTGGCTTGCCTATGGGCAATTACATTGCAATGGGCAATGATAGCACCGACGGGCCCGAACCCCCACCAACTCCGCCGCCTATGCAGCTGCCATCCAGCCTCGCCGAGGACAGCGGTGTGGAATTCGAAGACGGTGAGCTACAGAGCGCGGCAGCGGGCGACACAAGCCGTACGGGAGTGGCTGGCAATAGCGCGACCAGCAGAAGTGGTGTTGCCCCACCCTCCTCATTGTCACACTCCGCCGCCCGCGGGACTATGCAGAGAAGCAAGAAGACACCGCACAGAGTCAAAAGTACACCGAAGAGGAAACTGGTTCCGGCTACTCCAGCTAGTCAAACAGCGTCACGTGTAAGTTGAATGTGTCATGCCTGCAGTCTGTCAGTTGGGGGGGGGGGGGAGGCATGAGAGTAGAGGGTAGGCTGAAGGAAGGAAGGGGGGGGGGGTAGTTTTGCTACTTCTAACGTTCAATAGATAACATGAATGAAACACAAGATCAAACTATAAACTGAGTACATCGCCATGGTAGTTTTCATTCAAGCGTGGTACATGAATATCGATTCAGTGTAGCGTAGCCAGGCACTCTATACCTGAGACCATGTTTCATTGGCCAGCACTCAATCACTAGGTCATATGAAGTGATCGACTAAAGCACCAGTGTTTCCAACTCAGGACAAAAGGAGCTAGGTATAGTACCAAGCAAAAGCACTCGCCTATGACTGCACGAGACAACTAGGTTGTGGCAATCAGTGTGGGTGGGAATTCAAACCTACCATACATGTTAATAGCAATAAAAAGTATCAATCCTGCCGTCACCACCACACATCAGCGAACTCATCGAGGTTTCCAAAATCTAGATTTTTTTCGCGTTCCGCTCGTCAGTAGAAAATAACAGAACTGTAGGTAACATTCACAAAATGAACAGTGCAATTGCGAGTGTGAACGAGGAAAGTGATGATGAAGCCGCATTGCAAAATTCCAGATGACTTCGTTGATGTGTGGTGATGGCGGCAGAATTAATACTTTTATTGCTATGATTTTGAATTTGTTGTCTCCACGTGTTTATTTACCATACCGGTACATGTGCTTGTACTTAGAAAAAGGACACGCTTTAGCCTCTTTTAAGAACATCTTGAAAGTGTTCGGTTTCACTCAGTGTATACTTTCAAGGCTTGTCCTCAGGTGAAATAGAGGCAAAATCAAATGAACAAGGACCGTGAATGGATGAAGTACAGTAGAGAAGTAATACATGAAACAGCACAAGGAAGAAGAGGTAAAATAACAACAAAGATTGGGTGCCACATACACATAGAACGGAATGGGGACGTGAAAGGTGCAAGTGTGAGGAAACCTAACAAGCCGGCGTAAAGTGTGGTGCGACAATTACCTCTCTATTGTACTTCATCCATTGTCCTTGTTCATTTGATTTTTGCCTCTATTTCACCTGACGATAAGGCTTGAAATTATGCAAGTGAAACCGAAAACTTTCAAGATGTTCGTAAAGAGGCTGAAGTGTGTCCTTTTTCTGAGCATTATCGCATTCTTGTCTCAAAGAACACTGCACTTGTGCTTCTTTTGAAATTCTCAGGAACGTCTTCTAGTGTTTGGGGAACTTTCTTGATGCCATTGCGTCTGTCTTCACTTCACTGTTCTGCTTCTCTGTGACATGTGAAGAGCTGGGATGCAACCCCAATATATATATATTTTTTAAGAGTTAAATTTGAGGAAATCAGATTTTCAGCTCATTGCAGGCAAAAGGTCTAGGGGCATTTGCAAGCAGACTTTCGCATTCGAAATCTGAGTAGAACCATTTCAAAACTGGAACCCAAATATGCCATGGATTTAGATACAAACCGCACATATGAATTCTTTTTTGCCATAATCCGAAAACAGGTGATCAAATGGATTTAGCGGGTTTTGCGTTCCAGCTCTTCATCACATTCACTTTGTTATAATATTACACAAAACAAAGTACTTCACAAGCAGGCTTTATAGTGTTCTTAAAGGGGAAGTATACCCTAAAATCAAATTTTCACCAGTTGTAGTCTTCTGGGTGCTGAGTCGAATGGTCTTGGTCCGAGGAAGCTGCGACGCTCCCTTCCTACTTGAATCCCAATCATACTCGCGCACTTCCACCGAAACTGGGTGACTGCGCCCTGCTAGATGGGGATTTGTATGCAAAATGTCACTAAAAGCGCCATTTCGTTCTTATAAAAGCACGGATGACCGCGATTGGCCCATATGTTGTAGTCTTTTGGACGCTGAGTCGACTGGTTTTGGTCCGAAAAGGCTGCGATGCAGCGTTCCTCCTTTATTCCCAATCGAACATGGTTGAACAAGCGGTCACGTGCTCCTGGGTGCCCAAATCACCTGGTCACCGCGCCAGCAGGCGACAACTTTCACACCAAGGTTCAACTCGAGTTCAACTCGAGTGACAGGACTGCACCCAAAAAAGGTCAAACAGGCTAGTAAGTTGTACCCTGCAGGCACGGTGACCAGTTGACTGGTGTACGCAGGAGCACATGACCGCTTGTTGATGTTCGATTGGGAATAAAGGAGGAACGCTGCATCGCAGCCTTTTCGGACCAAAACCAGTCGACTCAGCGTCCAAAAGACTACAACATATGGGCCAATCGCGGTCATCCGTGCTTTTATAAGAACGAAATGGCGCTTTTAGTGACATTTTGCATACGAATCCCCATCTAGTAGGGCGCAGTCACCCAGTTTCGGTGGAAGTGCGCGAGTTCGATTGGGATTCAAGTAGGAAGGGAGCGTCGCAGCTTCCTCGGACCAAGACCATTCGACTCAGCACCCAGAAGACTACAACTGGTGAAAATTTGATTTTAGGGCCATACTTCCTCTTTAAAGACGTCTATGGTTTGAAGACGATGAACTTAAATACAGTGTTTTTTTTTGTGGTGGTGGGGGGGGGGGGCTAGTTGCCTGCGCTGTTCAGCGCCTGTACGCATTCTAAATTTATTGGTGTCCCATTTGCTTTCGTCCTCTGCAGTACAACCTCCGCAGTCGTACTTCAACGCCATCTTAGTGAGAGAAAAAAACTAGCCAGGCAAAATACTACCTCAACAATGGAACAAAGATAATGGACTGAACAACATTTGAAATTGGTTCGATATTTCTCAATACCCGTAATCGTTCTCTCGTGCACACGAACACACATACACGAACACCCGCATGTGTGAAAAGCGCCGCCGGGAGGGAGCAGAATGAAATACATGTTTTCGACTTCGACAGCATGTTACAAGGCGAGGAGGCACAGCGCTCCTGACTACAACCATAACCTGGTTGGCAGAGTATACTGACGTATTCATATCAGATTCAGTGCACATGTGTGTGTCTTTGTTAAAGTTTGTTTTGCTTTATTTCCAAATCTAAAAGATAACAGACTGGTTTTGTAAATCAATTGCTTTAGTATTTTATAAATAGTGGTAGACTCAAAACTTTACTCAAAACTTTACTCAAAACTTTACTCAAAAATAATCTTGTCGACTCAACTACTTGTAATAAAAAGCTACAGCCGCTGAATCGAAAATTATCACTGTTTTAATAATTATTTGGTGTGGACTCGAATAGACAGCCAAGGATAAATTTATAGAAAAGAAAAAGGACCAAGGAACTACAATGTCAGTGTCGTGCAATTTTCTCGCATGAGCTGATTGTTTAGTAACTGGTGGCGTTAGTGGACATTATAGCGTAACTTGTAGTTCCTTGGTCCTTTCTATAAATATATTGGTAAGTTTTGATTATGAGTATGGCATCGTCTGGCTGGGTGTTTCATTTGCAAATTTATAGACCACCAAAAAGTGAATGTTTATCCTCCAGCTCTATCCATTCTACTAGGGTATTTTCGGACTGGCAAAAAACAGTTCCGATTTCGACGGTTAGTAGCTGTGTATGGCAAAAGAGCTCTAACTGTAATTCCGTGGGCAGAGCACCTGACATGCCGGTGCAGTTACTTCAACTAGTGCTACAGCTGAGTTTATAGCAGCTCCTAGGGTTCTAGCCAAAGGGGTGGAGGCACAGCGCCCCCTACTCTGTTTGCAACCCCCCCCCCTGTGAAAAAGTGTCAAAACTATGTAAAGCCAATGTTTTAAAAAATACTCCTTTTTAGGGAAAATTGCAGTGCTGCATGGAAAAGTACAGTGGCATTTATTGAGTCAAAACAAATTTGTTTGATATTGTTGATGGTGTGGTCGCTAATGAGTGTGGGTATTTTCAAAGGTCAATATATAGAAAAGGAGAGGACCATAAGTTGGTCCTCTTTTTAAAAATTGTAATCCTTGACTCTCTATCCGAGTTTTAATAGTCAATATAATTATACATGTAGTATACAAAGGGCGCGTTCGAATTGTCTTCATCAACTGTTCTAACAAATTTTATAAAGAGATTAGTTGAAGTGTCCCATTAGAACGGTCTCTATCATTTTAGAGTTTTTCAGTGGAATTGTCATGGCGATGATGACGTCCGATCAGATCGACCATCTCCACGTACTACGTGACGTAGCTATTCCAAACTCTTCGAAACTAATCCACCTTCCCATCAGATGAGTTTCGAGGAGCTTCGTTTTTCTGAAGAGGCCAATAAGGCCACCTCTTCAGAAAAACGAAGCTCCTCGAAAAGTCAAAGAGTAACAATTCGAACGCGCCCTTAGTGTCAAATATTTTTGAATAGCACTTTAGGGCCCATGTTTCTAATCCTCAGTACTTTCTTAAGTCATATACTGAAGTTTAAAGTACGTGCACAAACAGTTTCATAGGTTGAGGGAATGGAAAAGGGAAAAGTCTGAAGAAAAAATTGACTGTCACCACCAGGGACCTTCACTTGAAGCCAGTGATGCTCTAACCACTGACCAATGGCAATGGTGTAGCTGTCATCCAAACAGAGACTGTTCAACATTTTCCTCAGACTTCGAAACTCACGCTTCCTGGGAAACTACGTACACAGGCTGGTAGGACGCAGCCCTCACTGTACCCACACACTTCACACACAAACTAGTTTGCGGGGGGGGGGGGGGGGGGGGCCTAAAGTATTAGAATAAAAATTCACTGGTTGCACAAACACAGGGTATAATTTCCGGTTCCTTTGCCTTTTAACTGGATACACTCCAGAAAAAAGTGTAGTCGAGCGATGCCTGACTGTAGCGGTAAATATAATCTGTCAAGTGCTGAAAGAGACAAAAAAAAGTCTGCTCCTTCACCCACGCACACACTCTCTCTCTCTCTCTCCTCCCTCTCCCTCCCTCTCTTTCTCTTTCTCTCTCTCTCTCTCTCTCTCTCTCTCTCTCTCTCTCTCTCTCTCTCTCTCTCACCCACACACACGCATGCACACACACACACACACACACACACACACACACACACACACACACACACACACACACACACACACACCTCAGACATGCCCATCGCGGGAGCGATGATAGCGAACAGCTATGTTAGACATGCAACTTGTGCTGGGATTATACCATTCAACAGCTTGCAAGGCTGATGAATTGACCGCCACTATTTTTAGCCTGGTATCCACCACACAGCTGTTTGAAGTGACTTTTTCTGGCCAGTGAATCCCTATTTTTCATTTTTCCATTTTTTCTTTTTTTCTTTTTTTTTCTTCTTTTTCTACACACACACCACACCACATACTCCGGCATACACTGGCTGTTGGTAACCACCCAGGAGAATGAAAGAAAAGTCACACACACACACACACACACACACTCTCTCTCTCTCTCTCTCTCTCTCTCTCTCTCTCTCTCTCTCTCTCTCTCTTTCACATCATTCTAAATTCTAATTGATCACACAATGAAAGCATTATCTGTATACAGATCATGAAAGTTGGCTTGATCCCTCACAACAGTCTCTAAGGTTTAGATATCAACAGCTTCTTAACTGTACAAGCGGCTTGCAAGGCTTCAGCAAGGGCACAGAGATCCAAGTGAATTTCTCCTCTCCTTTTCTCAAACCTGGCCCTACAATCTTTCCAGGTAATATAATTCAATTTTATAGACCGTATGTACATAAAACTGTAAACAATATGTATAGCTATGTACAGCAAGCGCTGGAGATTGCACTAAAACACGGAAGCACATACAAGTACAACCAATATGTACTCGCAGAGAGAGAAGAAAAGAAAGAAAATAGTTAGTTGCAAATAAGAGCTGCCTAATTTTACACTAGACGTAATCACACACATAGACTCAGACACACACATGCGCACACACACACACACACACACACACACACACGCACACATGCGGAGCACAGATTGTACTCACAACGGTCACAAAAGGGACAGAAAGAAGCAAGTCATTTCTTCTCCTCCTTTGGCACCTTCTTCTTTCGGTACCAATCGGTGAGGTCAGGTGGAGAGAACTTTTTCTTGAGTTCCTCTTCTGTTAATCGCTCATAGGGATCTCGAACACTGATTATACCATGTCGTATGATTTGCTCCTCCATAAGCAGGTATCTGTCCATTTCGTTCAACCTCTTCGACTCTAAGATGAAATCTACAAGCATGTATCTGCCTTCTGTAATAGTATTCCTGTGTCGCGACATTCTATAAGGCAGCACTCTCTCGCCGAAGGTGTTGATTTTGCGGATTGCTCCTTGTCGCTCCACAATGAGTTCGGCCACACTCTTCACGACACCTTTCAGCACATCTCTATTTAGGCCGGCTTTCGTAATGAACATAAGCTCGTATCGTCCCATGACGATAGGAAGCAACTCACACCATTTACACACAAGAAATGACGAGGGTTCTTGAGCTTACTAATACTAGTAATTATTAGAACCAAGCAATTACAAGTGATCATTCGTCCAAAAAGCAAAAAGCTCTTTTCGATTTTTCGTGATCACTGCAAAAAAGTTGCAAGAAAGTTGTTTTTGTACATTATTATGTACAATGCATGTACCTACTTAAAAAAAAGGATTTTTCAGTCTGATTTTCTTCTCAAAACATATCGCCATATTTACTATGGGAACTAATTAACTAATACATGTGTCTTTACATGTCATTGATAATTGAATGAACAGCATGTTGAGACGTGCTCGTATACTGCACGTACTGGCACATGTACTTCAAAGATCTACTGTGAACCGTGAAATTATTGCGATGGTCTAATTTCTGCGAAATTCGCGACCGCGTGGAAATCGCGAAAAGGAGATCCATGAAAGGTTTAGCAAGAATGCCACAGGTTTAGCAAGAATGCCATTCTGCAATCGCAAAATTAAAACCTCGCAAACCTGTCCGGATTCTGAAAACGCCGCGAAAATGTCACGCTTTACAGTACTCCGAGTTGCACTCAAAATGCAACGCAAACTTCAAGAGCCAGCATGAATGACCATGGCATGCAGCAATACCAATATTATTATAAACTGCCATGGTATATGTAGTATTACAACTAATTAAAAATAGCCACGGTAAGGGCGCATTCAGACTACCGATAAAAAGTGACCGATTGGGAAAGTCGCCAAGGTGATTTGATCACGTGACGTGACTGGCACGTTACCGGTGGGAAAGTTTTACTGCCACGGCTGCTGCGGCAGTAAACTTTTACCGGCAGTAAAAAAGTGCTCAGGCTGCATGCGCGCTGGGAAAATAGGAAAAATCCCTTGTCAGTGCCGCGGTGAGAGCTGAAAACTTCACGGTAACGTTAGTTTGTTATCGGTAGTGTGAATGTCCTTCACGGTTTATCGGCATTCACGGTTTGACGGGGTTCACGGTAGTCTGAACGCGCCCTAAGGGAGCGTTCAGACTACCGATAAAAAGTGACGGAATGGGAAAGTTTCCAAGGTGATTTGATCACGTGACGTTACTGGCACGTTACCGGCGGACATTTTTTACTGCCTCTAAGGCCGCGTTCAGACTACCGTGAATCCCGTCAAACCGTGAAGGACATTCACACTACCGATAACAAACAAACTAACGTTTACCGTGAAGTTTTCAGCTCTCACCGCGGCACTGACAAGGGATTTTCCCTTTTTTGCCAGCGTGCATGCAGCCTGAGCACTTTTTTACTGCCGCAGCAGCCGCGGCAGTAAAACTTTTCCGCCGGTAACGTGCCAGTAACGTCACGTGATCAAATCACCTTGGCGACTTTTCCATTCCGTCACTTTTTATCGGCAGTCTGAACGCAACTCAAAATGTGCTCAGGCTGCACGCGCGTTGGGGAAAAAGGGAAAATCCCTTGTCTGTGCCGCGGCGAGAGCTGCAAAACTTCACGGTAACGCTAGTTTTTATCAGTAGTATGAATGACCTTCACAGTTTATCGCTATTCACGGTTTGACGGGATTCACGGCAGTCTGAACGCGCCCTAACATGCCAAAATCCCGTGCACATGCAACACTATGGAATAAACGAAGGATCAATAACCAAAATAACCCCTCATTCAAGCAGGAGCAGGTAGCAAGGTGTGCAGATAACAGACGCATGCACGCGCGAACACACACACACACGCACAGCTGTATTCAGTGGCATTTCATGTATTCGCAATCCTATCAGAGCCAACAAGATCATGAGGGACTTGTAAGATACATGTACATGTACTGTAAAAGCAGAAATTTTCGGTGGTGTAATATTTTCGGTATTGTTCAAAATCGGCGGTTCGGTGGAGGGAAGTTTTTTTCGGTAAAACCCGTTTTCCAGGTAAGTGTACTAGTACTACTGAGTAGTACCGACATTTTCGGTGCGTTTTATTTTTGGTAAAAATTGCCTGCACCGACGTTACCGAAAATAAAACACCACCGAAAATTTCTGCTTTGACAGTAGACTCCATGACCATCAGATTCGTCACACCTGCATCCATCCCAGTGATTCTCAAGATAGCATCTCGTGTGATTCGACAAAAACAGCACTATGCAGAGTATGTACATGCTATATCGGGCACATGCTAACTATACCCAAGGCCTAAGAACTAGTGAGCATGACCAGTGAAATAAATACTATGGGGAAATAAAAACGTAATAAGAATAGTGAGATATCAACCAGGGATTGAGCACCGGTAGCAGATATTGGGGGCTGTCCATTTTTAATTTAAAAATGTTTTTTTCTCCCACAAACTTTCGATTATGGGCGGGCAGGTCCAGATTAGTTTCACTCTGAAATTATTGATGCCAGAAAGGTTGCCAATGTTCTGGTTTTCAATTGATTTTTGGGTGCAAATGTTTTTGTGGGTGAACGTGAGTGGCCGGCCGTGGGTAGGTCGTAACAAAGCTTTTTCGTTCCGTGAAATTTCTCAATAATGCCGGATGAACCCTAAAGTGACAAAAGGAATGATGATGATGATAACGACCCACAAATATTGGTTTTCACATGAAAATAAAAAATAAACGCAGAACAAGGTGAGTTCGGAGTGGGGTTGCTTCACTACTGCTGAGATTGTCTTGTAACGTTACGTTTGCTCGGTGCGATCAGGGAGCTACAGATTGCACGGGGATCTGCCGTTACTATACAGACTGCACATCGGCGGGTAGCGGTGCCTTGGAGCGTCGCTGACTAAAGCGCAGCCATACCTGTAGCAGCAGTGGGTCAATGCGTGCCCGGTTCTTGCCATACACATTCAGCGAGACGCCGAGTAGAATGATCAGACCGCTCCACAAATACCTGCACAGGCAAAAAGGTAACCATTCACACCATGTGTCTTCACGTTCTTGAAAAGCGCACTCCAATTCTCCGTATGGTAATTCCTCAAAAGTGGCCTCGAGTACGTTCTCAGCAATGCAGGTCAGGTTCAAATGAACAGACTGCAAGTGTAACGAAGTGTTTCTGAAGTACACTGTACATGTACTACAATCATTGCCAAAAAAATCCGACCAGTGCTGCATATGGTAGCCGACTACCATGTGCAGCACTGGACGGATTTTTGGCGACGATGGCACAACAGAGTTCACGCTTACCGCTCCCTTTCACACAGGCCATAATCAGTTGAACTGTAAGCGTACATAGGCAGGCGCACATAAAGTGGGCTGATGCTAAAACGTTGCAATCCAGTTATTTAAAAAAAACAACGCTGCACACACATGACTGAAACACTCACTGGACTGTGAATGGCTTGCTGAAGACGATGAACGATAGCGTCATTGTCAAGGCCTTGCGGAGAGTCGTCACTGGTCAGACAAACACACAGACATAGACACAGACACACACATCATACCAATCACACAAGCTGGACGCATTCAATAAAATGCTGCTGAGCAAATCCCAGCAAGTTTCATTTATAAAAGTCACCCACAAACCATTGAACTGCATGAGACTCATACCGTAGTAACACACATATAGGCGCATGTGCCTGTATTCGGATATAAGCGCATGTGCCTGTATTCGGATATAAGCGCATGTGCCTGTATTCGGATATAAGCGCATGTGCCTGTATTCGGATATAAGCGCGCTCTCACTTATAAGCGCATACTCTTATAGGCGAAGCACTACCAAAATTCTCACTTTGACACAATCACGGTTAAAAGTCTGCAAACAGCATACAGGAACCATGAAACTGACACTACAAGACCTAGTCAAACACAACATGTGACAACGACTCTGACAAACGAACTCTGATCGCGCATGCGCGTTTTAATAGGTGAAAATATTTCATTTTCGAAAATTGGATTCGTAGCAAAAATTCACTCATAAGCGCATGTGCTTATATGTGCGTTAGTACGGTATGACTGGATGTATTTCGCATTCTAATCAGAATGTTTTAAAATGGAATTGTCTTCACCATAGTGGAAGAAAAGGAAAGGAAAGAAATGCTAGAAGCAGAAGTTCACGTACCAGTGACTGCCACTAAAGCACCAAACAGTTTGATTGCCGTCAAGACAAACTTGATGCCTAAATACCCGGAGAGCGCGTAGAGCGCTACGTGAGAATACTTCCACACTGGGTCCTGGACAGAAGCAGGACAGAAGCAGGACAAACACAACAAGACAGCCACTCTGGTCAGAGCAAGTGTCCGCAGCCGCACGCCACACTCACTGAAACATGAACCGGTCCTTGGAGCCTGGCGCACATCCATACCCACATAGGCCGCCAATAAAACATTGGTGCACTCTATACAACCGTGCTACCACAAACAGAAAGGGTGCTTTGGCACTGGAAACTGCTCCATTTACTCGCTATTCACTACATGTACTAAATAAAGCGCTGATGAACAAATGAATATCATTACAAAGAAAAGAGGAGAAATCGACCAAGCATACTGAACTGCATAGATCAAAAATCTTTTCTTGACAGAGTCCATTGATGCTGTGGCCTGCTGTACGTCCCACGATATAAGTCGTACCTTTTCCAAAGCTTTTTTATGCCAATCTTGAAGGCAAGAAGGGGTTGTGGCTTACAGTCGAGTAAGATCAATGTGGACACATAGCAGACTTGAGCATGGGGCGATAGGGGCTCTCTCTCTCTCTCTCTCTCTCTCTCTCTCTCTCTCTCTCTCTCTCTCTCTCTCTCTCTCTCTCTCTCTCTCTCTCTCTCTCTCTCTCTCTCTCTCTCTGTGTGTGTGCATGTGTCTGTGTCTGTCTCTCACACACACGATCCACATACCTCGTTAAAATACTGCACAGAATGCAGAAAATTGCCCGTCCCAACAAGTCCAGCAAGTAGATATCCAAATCCAATTCCATACGAATATAGAACCTACACACAACAGGAAAAGCGAGATAGGCAACAGGAAAGCACATCAGGCTTAGCGAGTGCGTAGTCCTCCACGTGGATCATGTACCACACTGTTATACATTGCAGCTCCATGATCAAAACTAACTTGCGACAAGCTCTAACACGTGATAGGCGCAGTGCTACATTTGTAGTGCGGGGAGCAACGAGCACTGCCTGGCAAAGATCATGATACGGTAGTGGAGTGAAACTCATATCAGGCAACACATTTTGTAAGCTAGCCCCCACAATGCCACATCACATGTCCTGCTGAGCACCAGTACAGTGAAACCTGACGACCGCTCAAGGGACCTTCAAAATGTAGTCTCTGTTGCCAGCTGGTTTCCTTACCCATGCAGGTTCGTGCGACTGCAAATAGCATCCCTTGGTCCTGGTTACAGTGGTCTTCTGAGGCAGGTGGTCACCTTGACAGGTTTAACTGTCTGCATCATGTACTATGTGCAACATAGCATCATCTACAGCCCAGACCAGAGAAATCTAGGGACCGTATTTTCCGGAGGATAAGCCGCACTGGAGTATAAGCCGCACCCAGATTTTCACGAAATACAGCCATCTACCCTGTTTATCATCGTTAATTTGACCATCGTAGTAAAAGCCGCACCCACCTTTTTCGGGGTAAATTACTGGTGTTTAAAGTGCGCCTTTACTCCGGAAAATAATTATGGTAAGAAACATTGGGTGTTTAAAAGTGTATGGTCCCGACTGTGGTGCTACACGTCCCACTCATGACCTAACAATGCTAGCCCAATGCTTGCAGGGGCACAGCTCACTACATGGCACCACTGTGACCAGGCAAGCATGCATTCCACTGCCACAAGTACATGCACAGATCGTGCTGTTTATCAGTCTAGAGAGGCGGCAGCGGTGGCGGTGGCACGTACCACTTCAGTGTTGCCGGCGTCATGCTGCTTCATGGCCTTCTCCTGATAGTTCCCAATGAGTGCATCAGCGCACAGTGCCAACATGATTATCAAGATACCTACGATAGTGCACAGGAACAGGAAAAACAACACACACACACACACACCACACACACCACACACACACACACGCACGCACGCACACACACACACACACATTACCACTATTATACGACCCATTAGCACACGCTTTCAATTACACGCACGACAGAATACATGTACTATGAACAAAATGCCGTCCTAGCTGACGCTATTTTACTCAGCTGTAGCAATGAACCAGCAGCCCAGGCAGTGGTGCTCTTGTTAGTACATACATGCATACATGCATACAGGTAGGTATAGGTAGTGGATGCTGCACATGCTGCACATGGGATAACAGGGGTATTCACAAGTCCAGCCATGCACTGTACAGTGATGTGTTCGATTCTGACAGGGGGCGGATAAAGCTGGACAACTTGAAGGGGGTGCAGCACCACGCTATCGTTGCTTCGGCTACAACTCTGAAAGCACTTTCATTCGCCCTGGGTATTACTGCCGAAATATCGATTCGCCCCGCCACAGTCCCATCCAAGGCAAAACACGGGATCATGTCAACCCCCCCCCCCCTCCCCCCCCCCCCCCCCGACACATACACAACAAACTGACCGGTGTAGTTGAACTGCGGGTAGACAGCACTGTCGGCTAACGTGAACCATGCCAGTCCCACGCACATCAGCATTACGGCCGAAATGTCTATCGGTCCATAGCGACGGCCTGTGCAATGTAAGAAAACATGTTTATAATTATAGAGAAGACTTGGTAAACAAGGACACGGCAGAATGTTGGCAAGTAGATAAGTGATCTCTCTGACCGAGGCAGAAAAAACAGTCGCCTGGTTTTAATAATAAAAAGAAAATAAACACAGACTTGACCCGAAAGGACTGGTTGCATCCCTAGATGCGAAAACTCGACACCAACTTCACTGATTAGGCCCTGCAGTTGCGCACAGCAGAGTACACAATGCCATGCATGCATGCTGTACATGCACATCATCTCCACCTAACCATTACAACTGGTGAATACACAACACATCACGTCGCTATGACGATTCCAATTAAATTGATTATTTGCAGTTGCTCTACAATTTTTGTACATGTAGCTGCTTTTGGGCACTGTGTTGAATGTACAGTCAGACCTCGCTTAACCGCACACATCCGTTTTCCACAAAAATATCCGGATAGGCGAGGGAACCGGATAATCGAACACACACACTGTGTGTGGGCATAGCATTGCTGTAAATCGGTGACCAACAATTTTCTTCCGGATGGCGAGGGATCCGGATAAACGAGGACCGGATAAGCGAGGTCTGACTGTACAAAGAGTGAGATCAGAGTAGAAGGCAAGTGCTCAGGCTCAGATACGAGAGAGCAAATGCCTGGGCTAGGATACAGAGAGATCAAGTAGAGGGCAAGTGCCTAGGCTGGGATACAGAGAGATCAGAGTAGAGGGCAAATGCCTAGGCTGGGGTACAGAGAGATCAGAGTAGAGGGCAAGTGCCTAGGCTGGTGTACAGAGAGAACAGAGTAGAGGGCAAGTGCCTAGGCTGGGGTACAGAGAGATCAGAGTAGAGGGCAAGTGCCTGGGCCGGGATACAGAGAGATCAGAGTAGAGGGCAAGTGCCTAGGCTGGGATACAGAGAGATCAGAGTAGAGGGCAAATGCCTAGGCTGGGGTACAGCGAGATCAGAGTAGAGGGCAAGTGCCTGGGCCGGGATACAGTGAGATCAGAGTAGAGGGCAAGTGCCTAGGCTGGGGTACAGTTTCACCTACCGACGATAATCACGGAGCCTATCATAACGGGAATCAGCTTGCAGCTTTTGAATATGACCTGCAAGATGGGACAGAGTGTACAAGGGTGCACAACGTCTGATACCTGCACACACGCACTAGCATTCAGCTGCATAGTTGCACACATGGCTGGCAAAGGTGCTCAGCCTGCGGCACAACAAGCTAGAAACCAACACCCATCATGGATCAAGTAAAAGTCTGTCAAGTCATCACTTTCACAAGCTCACACTCTGCATTTGGCCACAATCGCTAATATAGTGACTTTAAGCACGTACCTGCGTTGGATAGTTCAAATATCCCAAAGAAAGATTGGAGAGTCCCATGGTGCCTAAAGTTAGGAAGGCTAGAAATAAATAAGTCTCAATCGGGATTCTGCAGAGGACACCAGGAAGAATAGGAGAACAATTCACATATGACTGCATTGCATTGACTGCACTTGCAGTCCACGTTACTGAGCATGGAATGCGTACTCCTGGCAGTTGCAAGAAGTTGCCAGGAGGCATATCAGACACACACACAGACACACAGACACACACACACACACACACACACACACACACAATGTGACACTTCGTGACTTAACATGCAGTGGGAATTACGAATGGTCGTAACGTTATCTATAGTAACACCAAATATCATTCCAGGTGACTTACTTTCTTGTCTGTTGTTGAAGTCTCATCTCCAAATACGAAAAGCAAGAATAGAGCGCAAACTGGGCAAGGGTGAGGTACAGAGCATGTGATTTCATTCCACTGATATGAAACAATGCTTCCTGCATAAAGGGAAGGAAAGAGAGAGAGAGAGAGAGAGAGAGAGAGAGAGAGAGAGAGAGAGAGAGAGAGAGAGAGAGAGAGAGAGAGAGAGAGAGAGGGAGAGAGAGAGAGGCAGAGAGAGAGTGATTGACTGTTCGAGGAGTTCCGTTTTTCTGAGGTGGCTTATTGGCCTCTTCAGATAATGAAAGTCTCCTCGCAACTCCACAATCTCATTCATTGGCAGAGGTGGATTAGCTTAGAAGAGCTTGGGATATTCCCCGCGAAAACTGCCTTTTGCATGCATTTCTCGTAGAACCTACAAGAAAACCTGCACATACGGCAAAGGAAGCCAAATATCACGCGGGAGGCATGCTCGGAAAATCTCATTGCAGTGAGTATGACAATTGCAAAGGAAGTGGCGAGTCTGACAGCAACGGTTCTACATTGTACAGTATTGGGATACTTCAACTAATCTCTTCTAAGATGTTCCTCGAAAAGGTGATCAGGACAATTCGAACGCACCCTAAAGATCACCACCATATCACACGTACGATTGCCAGTCAAGCTAGAAATCCTCTTTACTTGCACCAGCATTTGGTGAAGCTGTTCCAATTTCCATAATTATGGTCATCCGAAAAAAAACCCTGCTATGCTGTGCCACTCCAAACAACTAAATAGCTGATGAGCAATAGCAGCATGGGACAAACCAGCGTTACATGTACTAAGTCAAACACAGTGACTACGCAAGTTGAGTATAAGCATCCTTTTCGTAGGATTTGAATTTCTTCATCTTTTTTCTCTATTCCTGCCATTCCACGGAGAAGCCTTGGTGTACTGGGTTCAAAGTCTAGGTAGCGTCTAAAAATTTGTACAAAAACATTTTTGAGAAAACCAAAGTACATGTGCACCGCTCAGGCTGAAAATTGTGAAAGCCTCAGCTCACCTCCTTTTCGAAAACGAAGTCATGAAAAAGACTCGAGAGAAAAGAGTCGTGCTCTTCCAAACGAGACCATGTGAACAAACCCTTACACACTCGCATTGCTGTATTAAATATCATACTCGTAATTTTGTTTAAAGGGGAAGTTAGGGCAAAAATTAAAATTTCACCAGTTGTAGTCTTCGGGGTGCTGAGTCGAATGGTCTTGGTCCGAGAAAGCTGAGACGCTCCCTTCCTACTTGAATCCCAATCGAACTCGCGCACTTCCACCGAAACTGGGTGACTGCGCCCTACTAGATGGGGATTTGTATGCAAAATGTCACTAAAAGCGCCGTTTCGTTCTTATAAAAGCACGGATGACCGCGATTGGCCCATATGTTGTAGTCTTTTGGACGCTGAGTCGACTGGTTTTGGTCCGAAAAGGCTGCGATGCAGCGTTCCTCCTTTATTCCCAATCGAACACGGTTGAACAAGCGGTCACGTGCTCCTGCGTTCACCAGTCAGCTGGTCACCGTGCCTGCAGGGTACAACTTACTAGCCTGTTTGACCTTTTTTGGGTGCAGTCCTGTCACTCGAGTTGAACCTTGGTGGGAAAGTGTCGCCTGCTGGCGTGGTGACCAGGTGATTTGGGCACCCAGGAGCACGTGACCACTTGTTCAACCATGTTCGATTGGGAATAAAGGCGGAACGCTGCATCGCAGACTTTTCGGACCAAAACCAGTCGACTCAGCGTCCTAAAGACTACAACATATGGGCCAATCGCTGTCATCCGTGCTTTTATAAGAACGAAATGGCGCTTTTAGTGACATTTTGCATACAAATCCCCATCTAGTGGGGCGCAGTCACCCAGTTTCGGTGGAAGTGCGCGATTTCGATTGGGATTCAAGTAGGAAGGGAGCGTCTCAGCTTTCTCGGACCAAGACCATTCGACTCAGCACCCCGAAGACTACAACTGGTGAAATTTTAATTTTTGCCTTAACTTCCCCTTTAAGAACGGCAATGAACAGAACCAGCTGAATTGGTTCTGTCAGGGGCGTAGCAGCCGGTCCGGCTTTGGTCGGACCACTTTTTTGCCTGACCACGCCCGGAACGCAGGATTTTTCACCCTAATTTTCAAATTTTCCCGGGGGAGACCCCCCCTCCCCCCCCCCGGCCAGCCCACCTCCGACGGCAGTGCTGCGTGCCTGTCTGTTCATTGTGATTCTTAAATTCTTATCACCTTACCGCGTACCGCCCTTCCAAATCATCTTATTCCATTATAAATGATTATGCACTGAGGCATTCAGTAGAACTGGAATCCCCTCTCTGGATTCGCCACTGCACTACATTATAGATATGATGGAAAGTCAGTTGTCAGCCATTTGACTAACCTGCACATAACCATAGATCATGTAGAAGAAGAGTATTCCAGCGGTACAGAACAGGAATTGGTTGGTGGAGGACAGCGTCTCCATTCGAACTCCGAGCAGTGGCTCAGATTTGTTTCCCTCCCCATTCGCATTGTCCCTCGCGCTATTGTTCTGGAAAGAGCTACTAGCATCCTGCCCAGCTTTCACCATTATCTCTACAGAACGGGCTGCAGGACCAGTCCGATAATACGCGGCCGGTGCAGGCATAGACAAACCCTGTACGCAGGGCACAGCCGACCTACAAGGTTACAACAATCGTGGCTGAGGCGGCTCCACAGATGGCATGGCAGATCACTGTTCACGAGTTCCACCGAATCGATAATAAGTTTCATCAATAGTGACAATAAATGAACCAGGGCATCACGTTCACATTCACAATCTCAGCGTGAAACAAAAATGACAAAACTAGAGAAGCTGCAAACCACTAGTAGTATGACTACTTGAAGTAGTAAATCCCAGAACGGCAGAAGAGCAATACGTACCAGCCCATGCGGCCATGCCCTGCAGTGCAATGGCACGAACTAATAATTATTATTTTACCAATACATGTACAACCTTCTCTTTCACTGAAATGTCATTCTACATTTTCAAAGTCAGATCGATCGTCGACGTCGTGTTTCCAACTCCACGTGTCAAATAACGGGACTACCGTACACCATGGTACACGTAGTACTACTACTACTACTAGTACTACTAGTACTAGTAGTACCAGGGAGCCCTACACATATGTGTAGGGCTCCCTACAGTACTACTCCCAGTCTCTTTTCAAAAACAATCACTGAACACGTGAATTAGGGAGACAAAAAAATTGTGACATCGACAGCTAAAAAATGCGTATCTATTTTCAGCAAAGCTATTGTTGTTGACTTTTGATTGTACATGTACTCGAACTCGTAACACTTTCAGCATCAATTCTACAGTTTGTTTCTGTGTGTATTGGCGTGGCAAGATGAGGCTAATGATCCTGGAAGACTATGATAGGGCCAGTGAATGGGCGGCGAAATATGTGCGTAACCGGATCAACGCATTCCAGCCAACTGAGAAGCGACCTTTCGTCTTGGGCTTGCCAACAGGTAAGGCATACCAGGTTTGACGTCTCCACATTGAAGCGTAATGGATGAAGCTGATGTAAATTTTGAAGATTTAGCACATAGTCATTGATGAAACGCATTCACTTGTAGATGCACGGTGACGTGTTGGGATGTTTCCTTTCTCAGGCATGATTCCACCATGTACAGACATCTTTTCATTCTTCATTTCAGTCAGTTGCTTTATAGGTCAATAGACTCTATAAAGTGGAGGGAGTTTCTGCCATGCCTTGAAACGCAATGGTGAACATGCTGTAGATGTTATTTGGCACAAATTTGCAACAATACACTTGATCGCGGCATATAGAACTGGTGTCCACCACACGCCACTCTACATTATCGAATTTTGACACAAACAGCTTCCGACCGTTTCTTCATGTACATGGTACATGGTGTGTGTGTGTGTGCACGTGCATGCGTGTGTGTGTGCATGTGCATGTGCATGTCTGTGTGCATGCACTTGTGTCCTTGTGCATTTTGTTCAGGCGGGACACCCAAGGGCATGTACAAGAAGCTGATAGAGTATCACAAGGCTGGCGCGCTGTCCTTCGAGCATGTTATCACGTTCAATATGGACGAGTATGTTGGCATTGCACGTGATCATCAGGAGAGCTATCATTCGTTCATGTGGACTAACCTCTTTGCACACATCAACATCAAGCCAGAGAATGTTCACTTGCTGGACGGCAACGCTACGGACCTCGAGGCCGAGTGTAGCCGCTACGAGGCTGCTATCACTGCTGCTGGTGGGGTGGAATTGTTTATCGGAGGTTAGTTAGCACACTGTCCCTTGAGTGTCAGAATGTATCGGTATCGCTTTGGCCCAGTCTGTTCATGCTTTTGTCCTTGAGTGGTTACAAATGTATTTACCTCCCCCGGAAACAAAACTCCACAAATGTTTTATTCACATTCTAAGGAGTTATTGTGCTCAAGAATCGTGTCAACTTGGAGTCACCATCGCTTGATTCCTCAAAGCTCAATTCAAAAGAACTGACAGGTAGATGGAAATAACAAAGTGTTCCGTTTCTGGAGGAAGTAAGTTAGTTTTTTTTTAAAGAAGTTTCCTGCTCCCAATGTTAGAGAGCTTGTGCTTGCCCGTATGTTTGCCGAGTGGAAAGTTCAGCACGCTTCTCCGATGCTCGGGATGACATTCCGTAAGCCTGGCAATTGTCAGCTACTAGTAGTTGGCAGGAAGTGTGAGCTCCATCGCCGGATGCAGCCAACTTGTTCTCTAATTATTGCAACCAATATCACATATCTCAGCTGTACACACGGCACAGAGCACCAAGCATCGTTCGTTGCAACTAATAGTTTCATGCCCATAGGCAGTCATCAGACAACTGACGTTTCAACGAATGATGCGTGGTGCTCTGTGACGTGTGTAAGATAGCCCTATTCAAATGAATATTGAGCACTCTACAGAGCTGGAGGACTCTCATTTCCATCTCAGCTTTATAAATATTCCTCTTTTCGATTTCTTGTTGCAGGCATCGGTCCTGATGGCCATATTGCTTTCAACGAGCCTGGATCGTCACTTGTATCACGCACCAGAGTCAAGACACTTGCCCAGGACACGATCATCGCGAACGCGCGCTTCTTCGATAACGACCTATCGCAGGTACCCAAGAGTGCTCTGACAGTTGGCGTCGGCACCGTCATGGACGCAAAGGAGGTTAGTGCCCTAAACCCTTTCAGCTCTGTATCATTGCACTGGCTCACTGGTCGTTGTCTAGTCGTGCCAGTGCCAGATCATATTGATTAATTTTGTCTTGGTTTACTGTGGTATGTTGCAGTATTTGACATTCTCAACATAGCCTTCGCTAGTACAGTGGTTGTACCCTATTATTCGAACCGAGAGTATGGCCTGTTCAAAGAATTTAGAGGAAAGAAAGCAATTATTTCGGACACGTCTTTCGGAATTATAGTTCATTAGGCTGAAAAACGATAGGTGGTGGTACTCCTGATGTGATTTTTCTGTGTGTGTGGTGTGGTGTGTGTGTGTGTGTGTGTGTGTGTGTGTGTGTGTGTGTGTGTGTGTGTGTGTGTGTGTGTGTGTGTGTGTGTACATACGTGTACACGTGCACATGTGTTGTTTTTGTTGTGCATCACTCTTCAGGTCATGATTATCATCACTGGTGCCCACAAGGCATTTGCTCTGTACAAGGCGATTGAGGAAGGAGTCAGTCACATGTGGACTGTGTCAGCTTTCCAGCAGCATGAACATGCCACCTTTGTCTGTGATGAGGATGCAACGCTTGAACTACGAGTCAAGACGGTCAAGTACTTCAAGGGCCTCATGTCCATCCACAACGAACTGGTCGCTGAAGACGGTACGCGTAGAACATAGGCCTCTGAGTCTCTTTCTCAGTCTGTCTGTCTCTGTTTCTGTTTCTGTTTCTGTTTCTCTCTCCCCCCCCCCCCCCCTTCTCTCACTCTCTCCGTCCTATGTTTCCATGCTGCTTGTGTAGTTAGCTGAGGCTGGCCTTTGCTTCATAGTGAGTGCTCCCACTAGTGCTCTGGACATATTCCGGTTGTGATCTGAACCATTTTCTATCAGTTTGAAAACCTTCAATTTCCTTGAAAATCAAAAAATGTTGAGTGAAAATTTTGTCGTCTGAAGAAGATTATTAGTAATTTTTTAAATATATTGGTTTTTGTTCCTGCTCTGACTTAAATCGCTTCTTGTTGTGTCACGTGTGACTGTGCACTTTGTAGATTGCACCCATTACCGGTGCACGTACATGTACATGCTTGTATTGCAAGTCACTTCATAACAAGTGTCTTATGTATATGATATTTTACAAAACCGAATGCTTCCAATTATCCAGACAAGTTACATGCCATAATGTGAGCCGGTATCTGCACTGGGATATCATGTGCTGTTCATGAAGCATGTTCAAAGCACACTGGTGGCGATTGAAATCCGGCTCCAGCTCGGTGCACGCCCATTGCGAAAACCCAGCACACGCTTGTACACTACGAAATAGAGAGACCACTACAGTCTATTCGTAAAAGGATGGACGTCTAGCTTTTGGCCATAAACGGGTCTATGCTGTAGTGTGACTGTGCTTGGCGGGATGCTTGTCCTTGTTAGCCATTCTGTTCATCCTTGTCACTCAAGGCATCGTGTAACATTAGCAAGGTCACAGGCATCCACAACCTACTTTGTACAGCACTCCTACTTCCACTGCCCAGGCGAGATTTTCGGTGGTGCCGCTGCCAGCCACCTGACCGCTCTCTGGCAGCTAGTTTGCGGTGTGAGACACTCACAACATCCACTCCAGTCTTCCAGTATGCACTGCCTGTGTGGCATTGGCCACCCTACGTATATTCTCCACTGGAAAACTAGCGTGGCTGTTTGAGTGCCAGACACGTCACGATAGTTGTCATACTAGTTGTCAGGTAGCTGTCAAAGGGTGTCAGGGACAAGCACAAATTATGAACATACAGCGCCAAAATATTCTTTCCTCGTGGAGTCTTGAACTTGTTTTTTCCCCGGCGGGAAACAGTGTGTGTTGGTAGGCATTTCGGAGCGCACTAAACCAACCAATACTTTCAGTCGCAATACCGCCGCTGTCATTCTCAACAACACGCCAGTTACCTATTCAAAGTGCCAGTGAGATAAACTCCAACCTGACAACATCTTTTTTCTTTTTTCTCCGTTTGTTGCATCTTCTGCAGGCCTGGGAGCAAAGCGGACGCCAACCGCGTCTGACATGGATTATAATGCCTAGTCACCTGCTGCTGCGGCCCCTGCGCTGAGCTTTACAGGACACGTCTGGCTTTCTACTGCGCTGCTCACCGCTCTCCAGCATCAGGAACGTGACATAGCGATGAAGCATGCAAAACAAGATTGGTGACGGTATGGGACTTTATTTTTAAGCTGTACATGTAGTAGTTCTGTGGGCATGCTGTTGGTCTGCAGCTAGTTGACCAGTTGCTTGCTTGCAGGCGGTGTTCACAGCATTGCAGCAACACGGCAAGCAGACCTGCTATTTTTTTGTGCTGTGCAGTCTGGCTCCAGACTCTACATTCTGCAATGCTGCGTCATCTGGCCAGCTGCCAGCTACCCTTGACCAAGGATGAACAACAAAGTTATTTTTAGTTTCCCTCTAGTCCCCCTGGTTGAGCATTTGGTTGAGCGCACGTACACCCTGGTGTTTAGATATACGGCTCTTCTTTTCCATCAGCGTCTTGCAGACGTAGCCGTCCTCCGCTCCAGCTCTCACATTAGTTGTATTCCATCCGGACTGACTTACTTATTCTTGCGGCTGAACTTCGTCACTTTTCTGAATTTTATTGCGGTTTCATCTGACTTAAAGGACTTTTTTCTACTTACCAACGCGCTGTGATAACTCATGGGACATGGACCAAGTTCATCTGTTCCACTCTCAGATGGTTGGTGACCATGGTGACTGTGTATAAGCAGATTTCATGTAGGCGTGTTGACTTTTAAAAGTTACTTCACTGTCATGCTAAGGTGTACTCTGACCGTGGCTGTAACCGTGGCTGTAACAGTGGCTGTAACCGTGGTTACTCTGACCGTGGCTGTAACCGTGGTTACTCTGACCGTGGCTGTAACCGTGGGTACTCTGACCGTGGCTGTAACCGTGGTTACTCTGACCGTGGCTGTAACCGTGGTTACTCTGACCGTGGCTGTAACCGTGGTTACTCTGACAGTGGCTGTAACCGTGGTTACTCTGACAGTGGCTGTAACAGTGGTTACTCTGACCGTGGCTGTAACAGTGGTTTCCAGTGCAGTGAAAAGCAGGCTGAATATGAGCTTGCTCACAGCAGAAGAATACGGCCATGCCAATCCAGGTACGTTGTGGAATGTGGTGCTTTGCAATGTAGGGAAGGTCGGAAAACCGAGTACAGTATATTTTAAAAGCATGAATGTGTAGTGTGCCTTGTCATCTTCCCACTATACCTTCAACCCGTAACACACAAGCTGTCCTCGGCTACACCATGTACAAGGATTGTTTCCAAATTTTCACCCAGGAGAACATCACCAGGGTGTATTTAGCGTGCATCGCTTCAGAAAACGCTCACAAGTACATGCTTCAGTGCAAAGTGCGTATGTATGTGCGAATGTGAGATGTGTTTGCCGCGGAGTGAGTACAGGGGAGAAATGCTAGGGCAGTGGCTAAGTGGTAATGCTAGGGCAGTGGCTAAGTGGAAATGCTAGGGCAGTGGGTATGTGGAAATGCTAGGGCAGTGGCTAAGTGGTAATGCTAGGGCAGTGGCTAAGTGGAAATGCTAGGGCAGTGGGTAAGTGGTAATGCTAGGGCAGTGGGTAAGTGGTAAATTAGTAATGCTAGGGTAGTGGGTGGAAATGTACCTTGGTGTTGCACTGTCTAAAGGACAGCTATACTTATAATAGTGCTCTGGTGCTGCCGTCTCCAAGCGAAACCGTGTGCTGCTGTCCAGGGCCGACTCCGTGCACCCTGATCCACGAAGTCAGAATGGTTACAACATGCACTGACAATGGCACGTGTTAGAATGCTGTGCGGGCATGATGTGCATGCAGAATTACGCCGAGAAAAGGAAACCTTCATTCGAATACGGGTATCAGTACATGAACTGCGTGCTCTATACTGGCTATGAATGGCTAAGGCTATCATGCATTACTTGACTGGTGCGAGAAGAATGGGAAAACCGGAACACACAACCTGACCACGTCGCAAGTGTGAGGGCTGTCTTCTGTGTACGATGGCGGGTGGAAGATGTGAACGCATGTGAGTTGCCTGGTATGACATCACGTGGGTGTGCTCCTGTGCCCTGCTGGTCTTGGCAGTGCTGGATGTAACTGTCTGGCCACGATAGTGGATCCTGAACAACAGTTAACTCTCTCGGCCGTGTCACATCAATGACGCCGTCTGTCACAGAGGTACGATTGCCACCGGGGACACAGAACAGAAACATTAAAAAAAAAAAATTCAACACATCGCTTGCTCAGGCTGCTGGCCCAACCTGGGGCCCAAACCATACCGGTACCGCGGTAGCGGTGTACTAGTAACTGCCTACTCATCACAGTGTATGTTCACCTCCACACAAATTCACGGTGTACGCTATGAATTGTTAGGCTGTGCTAAGGAAGTTGCGCATGCGAGACAACGACGTGCTCAATACCTCAGCCCCTACTGCAAGCTACAAAGTTCTATGGCGGCCATTTCTTGTTGCAAGCTTAGGTTTTTGTCTTGATTGCGTGTGTGTGTGTGTGCACGCGCACGCGTGCTTGCGTGTGCGTGTGTGTGTGTGTGTGTGTGTGTGTGTGCGTGTGTGTGTGTGTGTGTGTGTTGGCGGTTAATTCATCAGTCTCGCTAGCTGTTGAATGGTGTAATCCCAGCGCAAGTTAGTTGCCATGTCTAACTTAGCGTGTTCGCTATCATCGTTTGTGGATGTTTCATTCGAATTATTTTCGTTCTGATCTAGCTCATCGCACAAAGCTTGAACACTCGCACAATGCTGTAGAGAGTAACACAACATACAGCACCAATCAAACAATGCTGTAGACTGTCCCCACAGGATACCGCGATTCCGCGGACGCGCTATTTTCCGCGTTATTGGCTTTCATCCGTGTTTTCGAGAGATTTTGCATAAAAGTTAAAACCCGCGTTATTCATGGAATGTACAAGAAAATAGTACATAATGTTGAAAATGTACTACAAAGTCGTACTGGTGCATGAGTTTGTACGACAAAGTTGTATACTTCCATGAAACTGCATGCTAAAGTTGTACAAATGACAGACAACTCGTGCATAATAGACACCCTTAGCAAAAAACGTTATTTTGTAACGGTATTACATACCGTAAAGCCTAGCAAGGCGCGGGGGATCAGTTGCAAACCTGAGACCAATTGTATTGCTGAACACCCTGCGCAAGGTCATTTCACTCGTTGTGCTCAAACGTATTACACCACGTGTGTCGCATTATCTTGGATCCACTTCGTCTGGTTTCAGGCCTGGTCGTGGCGCTGCTGATGTGGTGTGGACACAGCGCTGGATTTCCGCTAAAGCCACCCACTTCGTGTGGGATTGCCACGTCTTTGGCCTCGACATGTCGAAAGCATTCGAAAGCATTCGACACCATTCGACACCATTAGCCACACAAAGCTCCTTGCTGTTATGTCAGAGATTACCGGACCTGACGAGGCATGCCTGATTCACCATTAGATTTTGCTGTATGGTACAACACTCTCTGTGAAAGTGGGTACCACTTCAGCGGAGGCGTTTGTTAGCACGCTAGGCACACCACAGGGTGATGGGCTGAGCCCGGTTCTATTCGTTTGCTACCTGGAGGCAGCACTGAGGGAGACTCGAAGCAAACTACCACCACGGCCAGACACTGATGCAGCAATACCACAGGAAACGGGATAATATATTATGCCGATGACATTTCCTTCTATTCGACTGAGCGACAATGGCTTGACAACTCCCTACCCATGATAGCTGACGGCCTGGGTGACTGGTCACTCAACGTTAACAGCAGCAAAACAGAGTGGCTTCACATTTCTGCCTCCACCACCGAATGGTGAAGATCCAAGCAACTTGGCTCTCTCTCTAGGGGGAAGAGGAGGACTTGAGGCGACGAATGGACCAAGCATCAATATCGTATGGCCGCATGTATTCGCTCTGGATGCGACGTCAACTTGTATCCTAGGAAATCAGGCTTCGTCTCTACAATGCCATCGTCCTACCAACGCTGTTATACAACTGCGAAACCTGGGGACTGACGGAGGCTGCACTGTAGAAGCTGAACGCCTTCCATAGACGTCAACTACGTAACTTGTTCGGAATTAGGTATCCCGCCATCATCTCCAACAAAGACCTATATTCCAGAGCACAACCACAGCCACTCTCGCACACCGTTGCTGTCCGTCGTTTCTGGATGCTGGGTCATGTTCTGAGGGTACCCTCGGACTCCTCGCCACAGCAGGCAATGGACAACTACTTTCAGATATGGGGTTTTGTTGATGACACTGCACGCCCCATTGTCCGTCCCAAGAGAGGACAACGCTTGTGGTACAGTGGGCACAGGCGTCAGCATGTGCAGAAATGTCAAGCCGTCATGACTCCGTCTGGCCTCATACCACACTTATACCTGGGCCAGTGGAGGGCTCTCGGCATGACGCCAGGATTCTGCGCATGAGTGGCCTGCTGGACGAGCTCCAACAACTGCCTGCCCGGGGTCCTGATGCAGGTGAGGTGTTTGCCCCGTATGGTGACTCGGCTTACCCAGCGCACCTGCAAACCCCCTACCAGGGTATGAACTTGACTGATGCACAGCCTGAACACAACGCAAGGATGTGCGAATGCCGGATCTGCGTGGAATGGGGATTCGGCGAGATCTCCTCGAGATTCAACTTTATCGACCTGAAGAGGAACCAGCGCCTCTTGCTGCAACCAGTGGGCAAGTACTACATCGTTGCTGCCTTAATGAACAACTGCCATGTTTGCCTGTATGAGAACCAGACATCGAAGCACTTTGATCTAACACCTCCTGCACTGGATGAGTACTTGCGATGAACTTCAGTCTCTACAAGCCAGGGTACGGTTCGTAATTTAATGGAAACTGCTTTTGAATGATTATACTCTTCACTTCTTATAATTTTCTGCATGGATCGTGATGTTAAAATTTCCAGCATATCTATCTGATTTTAGTTTCCCTAGGTTCCAGTCCCCCACCCCCTTCTACTTTGTTGAGCATTTGTACTCAACCAGTCATGCAAGTCATGCAAGTCATGCGAGTCATGCAAGTCATGCAAAATCACATAAACTGTAAAACAAGTAAACGAAACTCATCATCAGCTCTTGTAGGTTTTTATTCCTTCTTTATATATATAATATGCATATCTGCAAGCATCTTGAACTTTGCTGCATGTTTGCCGCTTCCTTCTCCCGTATGTTCAGCTCTCTCTCTCTCTCTCTCTCTCTCTCTCTCTCTCTCTCTCTCTCTCTCTCCTTGAGCTTGCGGCGTTCGCGAATCTCCTCTGCAACGTTTAATCTCCTGCTCTTCTCCTTTCTTGTCACCTTGTCGTCATGTTCTTCCTCTTCACTGCTCTGTGATTCTTCATTGCTCTGTGATTCTTCACTGCTCTGTGATTCTTCATTGCTTCCTATGACAGTAGAAACAAGCAGATGTTCATATACGTATTATAATTATCAGTTTAGTGCTGATTCATCGGAAGGTATTTCTTACATTTATTTTCTTAGCTAATGATATTCATCAAAATATTGATGTACTGGTATTCAGTTTGAGCTTTAATTGTTTATTTGATTATTATAGAAAGCTAGCTATGAAATCGTCTTGGGAATTGAACTGAGATGCATTGCTGCATTTACATGAACAAATGATTATACAACTTACTCTTTTCGGCTTGCGCTGAGCTGCTTGCGTTTGACCCAGGGTCTGCATGGCAACATGTATGTATGTATGTATATTTTTATTTGAATTCGCAAGTACACACGGGCTACAAGCCCAATTACATGGAAGCGAATGCCATAATGAGGCCAATTAAGAAAAGAAAAAAAAGGTGGAGGAAGGAGGAGGACGGTAGCAAAGCAACAGGGAGGACAATTCAGGACCAAAATCAACAATTGCACAAATGTGAGAGCACCTGAGACCGGGGGTACCTGTGGAGCGATAAAATGCCAAGCAAACAGAAGAAAGGAAATCACAAGCCAATACACGCTAAACTGCACTTGAGTTAGAATGAAGGGGAAAACCGGAGCTCAACAAAATTATAACGTACAAAGTCATAATAAGAAGTCAACTGGATGAGAAGTAGCACAAGCAAACATTTCCTGGCAACATCACGCTGGGCTTTAGCAAGCAAGACATCCTCTTTGTCTTTCTTCTTGTCCTCCGCACTCTGCTCCTTTCTGGTGAGCTCTACATCCTGCAGCTCAAGAAGCTCTAGCAGGATGCGAGCTCGCTCATCGTACGGCTGCTCAATACCTGTCCTGCAATACACATGTACATGTAAATCTAATAATGTTCACCTTTCTGTAGTGCATCCAATCGATCACAGCTATTCTGCTCTACAGCATTGTTCCTCAAGATTCTGAGCTTTCTGTTTGTCTTTCTCTTTATCATCATCCTGAATGGCACAAGTGAAGTAGGCATCCCCGCTTACATCGCGATAGTGCTTATAATAATAATAATGTAAAGCACAGAGCAACAATCAGGGTTCTGCCTACAACCAGTATGCCAATTATGAAGTATAAAAAACAATGAACAAACAAAGGTCACGCCGCTTATTAGCACAAAGGGTTCCAGATGCAACACAGCAATACAGAAACATAACACTTCAGGTACATGCGGTTGACAGAAAATGGTGAAGACTTCAGGTGCTTACTTCGCTTTCAGGCGATTGTCGCGAACCCTAAACTCCTTGACACGGGAAAGTGTTTTTTCTCTGCAGAGCCTTGTCGTGAAACACTTGCTAGTGCTGCCTTCAAGTTAGCCGTCCCAGAGTCCCAGAGTTCCAGAGTTCCACCCCTTGGACCCCCTTGTAAAAGGGGAGTCCTGTGCGAGGGCCTCACGGAGTAGCTTTAGCTCGTCTTCCGCAACAAACCTGCTCCGCGGACCAGATGCTGATGACTGCGCTGTCGACGACATGGCTGAGTAAGCTTTCAAGAACGACAACGAACGTGACAAGAGGCGTGGAAGAAATGAAACTAGAAGCTGGCCTCGTCGGCAATTTCAATGGTATTCCACTGAGCTGCAGGGATTCGAATTCGATACATATTCGTCACGATCCCTGATCTGCGCCACGTGCCACGTTTCGCGCGGAACAGCCATTTACGCTATATATGGTGCAGTGTGTACGCACTACGCAAGATTCGGCAAAAAACATTATCGTTGGTCGCAACGAGAAAAAAGCACCCATAACAGTTTTATGCTGCAGCTTCAACGCTATATTTGGGATCCAGGTACGAGTACTGTACAAAATAACTTTACCGTTGTTTGCTAAGGGTGTCTAATGATCGCGTATGATTTATACCGCATATTTGCCGCATAATAGCCTGTTTTCGCCCGCATATTTATGCGCATAATTTTAAGATTGTGTCCGCGTTATTCTGTGGGGACAGTGTAGAGAGTAACACATCATCCAGCACCAATCAGACAATAAGCCTTTTGCGCGTTTTACAGATGTACGAAGTTCAGTACTAGGGCGTAGGTGTGTACAGAACCGATTGGGTGTTCATTGTGTGCTATGCATGCGCATTTGACCAATTTTAGCCTCATAATTAAGGGCAAACAATCCCTATTCCAGTTTCTTCACTTTGGTTAGAACTAATGACTAGCTAGATCTTTGTCAGAAAAGGTCATCGTTTGAAATGCCTTCAGGGCCCATTTCTTCGTGGAAATAGCAGAAAACACAATAGGGTCCTGCACATTCAACACCCATTAGGTTCTACGGGATTCTACGGGATGTCGTGCATCTGTACAACGCGCAAAAGGCTTATACTGTAGAGAGTAACACAACATCCAGCACCAATAATCAAAGCTGCACCTACCACACTGCAGGTATCCTATTCGCAAACACAGGCTCAGTCCCCAACACAGGCTCAGTCCCAAACACGGGCTCAGGCTCCGTCTCTGCTACGAGTGTCTCTGAATAGGTGACGAACAGTCCTGTAAACTGGAACGATTCGAACTCTGGCGATCTGTCCGGCAAGCCCTCTGCTCGGTATCTGAAAAGAAACCGTCAAGAAGGTCAAAGACGTACGTGTATCAGTGTTCTACAGTCAGACATCGCCTAGTTAACCGCACACATCCGTTTCCCACAAAAAAATATCCGGTTAGGCGAGGGAACCGGATAATCGAACACGCATACTGTATGCATGCATGACATGTGCCGTAAATCGGTAACCAACGATTTTCTTCCGGATGGCGAGGGATCCAGATAAAAGAGGACCGGATAAGCGAGGTCTGTCTGTACTTGAGAACTCATTCCTACGCTAAACGCTCGCCGAGACAGCAGCTGGTACTGGCTAGAAGAAAGCGTACAGCTGTGGGTGGTTCAGTCATCTCGGGGTCTTCAGCGCCGCCTAGAATCGAGAGGCTGTTGAGTGCATGGGAAGATGAAGCAGAATGAAGATAAATGAACGCAGGCCGAGCGAAGGGGGCAGGCAACACGTGCACTCAGTTGTGTCACGCGAAACTGTGTCGTGAGTGCCTACATCACAGTGTGACTTACGCTGATAGATTTTAGATTTGAAAATTTGCTCATGTACTTACAAAGAGCCTTGAATTTGCATTATTATCACAACAAGAAGGGATGTGCTTCGTTTGCGGTTGCTCAGACCGGAGGGGGGGGGGGATATGCCTATGATGAAGTTAAGTCGTTCCTGTTACATGTGTATAATTATGCGATAGTACTTCACAGGCTACATAAACATCTGCATCTCCAACGCAACAAGAAATCAATCACGCTGAGTTCTATAGTGTTGATGTTGGTAACTCTTACCCAGACCAGTACGGCTTGGTCTTCAGTGAATAGGAGCACTGTGACAACTGACTAGCAAAGAGCTTGGCTGTTGAACGCACGAAATCCTGGACATGCAAAACAGTTTTCATTTGAGACATCACAACATTCGGCCACATGCTTCAAAACTACACTATTTCGTTATGAGCCACTATCACCCTGTGGCATCTGAAAACCATTCTGAATGTGTGGATACTCAGTTATGCTTTTTCCATGGATTTTCTTTTAGCTGGGCACATACTGTTAATTCCATGACGCAAGTACCGGGTTTACGCTGTAAATTCTGTGAATTGTATAGCATGGTTGCGTGGATAAAGATGGATAAAGAAGACGAACAGAATCGGATGAATTGCCCGCTGTACGTTTTGCATGGTTCTGCCAATTCTAATGCCTTTCGAGCAGAATCTGCCATTTTTCGACCCATTGTCTGCTGAGGAAACTCTCTCGATAGTCATGGATTGTGAGACAATAAGCAAGGCACATCCAAAGCGCTCTACACTCTACTCTGGGAGGTATAGAGAGGTTCTGTAAAACGAAAATGCTTACAAAATTTCGCTCTACGTCATGAAGTGAGAAACTTCACATGAACGTTCGCAACTTTGGACGCGAAACTTGCAGGGAACACAAAATGAACTTTTGTGGGAAGTTTCGTGACATCGGGTCAACAGGTTCATCGTGTACGTGCACTTGGGCGAGTGCAAACTACGAAAATGTGCAGAACACAAAGTTTGTGCGAAAGTTCGCATACATTTTCGCAAGGCCCGTCGCGAAACTTCGTTCGAATTTTCGTTTTGCAGAACCTCTCTTTATGGTAACACTAGTGTGTTCGGATGAAATACATGTATGGTAGCAAGGTGCAGATGTGTTTACATCATATACAGTTACATGTATACACGTTGTACTTACAACAGCTGGGCAGTAGTGATCCGTGTCGCGGCCCTTGGTCACGCTGGTATAGTTCCCTCCGAACACGAGTAGCCTTTTGAACAGCTGTGAACACATACACACCGACTACCATCAAGTTCTGCATGCACTCAGATCGAGTGATAGTCTCAAATTGAATGACAGACTGATCATACCAGAACCCAGTGATACAGTTTTGTTACTAAAAAAACAAACAATTTTAGACCACAATTGACAGTAATCTGAATGGCAAAAGATGAAAAGAAATGCTATTGAAGTGCTCAGTACCCAAGCCAGTACCGAGTGGTACGATTTACTAACAATCTGCAGTTCTTCGCGCTGCCCTCATCTACTAGTAAGCATGTTCTTAGCCTCACCGGTACATGTGCGCTGTTATCCATGAACCTTGTGATGTCAAACTCGTCACAGCGTGGTCTGTGTGTTGCATGCTTGGACGATGGAATACCGAACGTGGCGTTGTCTCTCTGTGCTGAGTGCAAGTTGCCAATAAGGCGATCACCTTTAGTCACTTTGTAGTAGCCATCACTCGAGGGCAGGTAGAAAGTCTCTCTGAAAATAATACGGAAAAAGGCTCCGGTCATGATCATAATCTGCTGCACATTTAAATTTCATCTCATTTCAGTGGTTGGGAAGTGTAAAAATCTTCTAGGCCAGCCAGTTATTGATTCGCTGCGGGCTTCAAACCAGGGAGCACTATTAAAATCACCTGTTTTAGTAACTACTCCCTGCTTCACACCCTTAGAGTGGTGTGCAGGAGCTGAGGCAAGATCATACCAGGGGTTGTTTCACTCCATAAAGGAGAGGTTTTTGTCTCGTTAGTCAGTAGCCAGGTGTTGGTTGGTTCATGCATGCAGTGTAAATGAGCAGCAATTCGTCCCGGCGACGGGCACTTAACCGACATTCTTACAGTGCTCGGAAGAAGATCAACTGCTGAGGCGGATGTACGCGAAGAACCTACAGCCAGACAATCACATGACATGCAGCAACACAATCATACAGCAACACAATCATACAGCAACACAATCATACAGCAACACAATCATACAGCAGAATGCTCCCAGAACATGAGTACCTGGCACAGCATGTTAGTATGGCTAACTAATTACTTATCAAAGCATAGATTTATGTTGAAGTACTTACACAAAACCAATATCACCTATTTTCGTTTCATTTCTGTGCAGTGTGCACTTTTAAATCAGTGTTCGCGGCTTGGTATTCCTGTTGCTTGCCTTCCAACTCTGTCGCCTTTCTCCTCTTCCCACCCAATGTTTCTTTCCCTAATGGTGCTGCACTCACCCCTGGCTGGGTGAAAGTATCCTGTGGCAGGCAGGCGCACCAACTATGTCCTTTGTGTGTGTGTGTGTGTGTGTGTGTATATGCATGTGTGTGTGTGTGTGTGTGTGTGTGTGTGTGTTTACGCCTTGAACCTGAGCGTGCGCCGCGACAGCTCTTGTTTGGGTCCCTGAAAACGACCCGGCCTGCCCATGGTCCTCGTCGGCGCTGGAAGGACGTGTTGCGTGTTGACCTCCAACATCTTCGAAACTGGTTTGACGTGGCCTCGGAGAGGTCTGAATGGCGCCAGTTTGTGCATGGAGCACCTCCACCGAAGCCAGCACCTGCTCGCGTGGAATGCACCGTATGCCACAGAACATTTGCAAAGCCGCACTACATGGCTCGTCACAAGTGTACCACTGAGAAGAGGATGCCTATCCATCTCCAGCGTGGTGCACTCCAATGCAATATCTGCAGCAGATGGTTTGCCAGCGCTGGAGGCCGTGCTGTCCACAAGTGCACCCGCAGTACGATCAGCACCCAAGCTTGCCCGCCCTCGTCTAGTCGAGAGTCGATTCTCCTGGACAGTGGCAAACTCCAATGCTCAATGTGCCAACTCCAGTTTTCGCCATCCAGTTTCAAGCGGCACAAATGCAGCCGTGGCAGTCGCCCTACTTGTAAACAGAGGGAAACCTTCGAATATGAGTGCCGGTTCTGCAACAAATGTTTTCGGCTTCCACGAGATCTCAACCGGCATGTGGCTCGCCAGCATTTACTCTCTTACCCTGACTCTGGCTCCCTGTCACAAGGGAGTGGCATGGCCCTATGGGGCAGTCATGCTATAGTAGTAGTAGTAGTACAGTTGTGGCAAGTGAAATCCGACACTTGCCATAGGGGACAGCGCCTCAAATGGACATCAATGATGTAATGCACTGCACCTAATTTGTACTATAGAGCCGCATGCATCCCAAACAGGTCGAAAGGTCACAGCTTAGATACACACAGTTCACAAACATGGTACACATAAGGAGTATTGGTATCCAATTCCCAGTCATTTTTGCCAGCACCTTTTGAACCTTGACTGTGATGAGTACGAATTCTGTCATCAGACAGATAAAGTTGTATGCAACACATGTACTGTACGTATGCAGGGCTGCAGAGGCTGCAGGATGCACGGTGCAGTCCCTTATGCCAAGTGTCGGATTTCACTTGCCACAACTGTAGTAGTAGTAGTAGTAGTAGTAGTAGTAGTAGTAGTAGTAGTAGTAGTAGTAGTAGTAGTAGTAGTAGTAGTAGTAGTAGTAGTAGTAGTAGTAGTAGTAGTAGTAGTAGTAGTTTGCATGTACGTATGTGTGTGTGTGTGTGTGTGTGTGTGTGTGTGTGTGTGTGTGTGTGTGTGTGTGTGTGTGTGTGTGTGTGTGTGTGTGTGTGTGTGCCCCTGTAACGAGAACAATAGCACATGGTTATTATCAAAGACGCAAAGACAAGCAGCAATGCAGTATGCTGGTTTCTACGGTAACCCATCATAGTAGCAATTATTGCAGCAGGTGGGTGAGTAGAACATGTAATGAGTCCGTTGAAATGGCCTCCCCCCTCCCTCCCCCCCTCCCCCCCCCCCCTCCCCCCTCTCCCCTCCCGCTCAGGCTCACCTCATCCACCACAGCAACGCGGGCAGATGTGGTGTGATTGTTGAGTATGTCAGCCACAGTTAGCCAGCCATCGGTCGATGCTTCCGCAACATCCTTGACATCTTTGGCAACCTGTCGCTGCATTGCGCTGTCGAGATAGAACCGAGCTACGATATTCGTCAGAACAGAGCGTAACGGAATGACAACGTGGTGTCTGAAGACCACATAATGACCACGAACAGAAAGTCACATTCAGCGCACATACCGGTACTGGAAGTAACAAACATGTCACAAATATTGATATGTACCGTATGCCCAGACAAAGTACACATTCCCCACTGTCTAAATGATGAGGTAACTTAGGAGCAATCAACTTTGTTTTTAAAACGTTTCGAATTATTATTTTAAATCCTTTGAAATCTACGGCCAGTCCCTTGGCTGAATTGGCATTCATTCGATTTCATTCTGTGCCCAAAGCTTTCATAGCTACTTACGTCAGGATGTAGGCAAGTTGCGTAATCACTTCCTCTAGTATTCCATCTTGCCCCATTTCCAAATCGAGCTGAATGGGTGAAGTCGTCAGGATGTCGTCCTTCCACATGGCGGAGACGAGCGTTCGCACTTGCCGCATTGCGTCCACCTGCTCTGACCGTGTTGAAGATGACGGTTCAGAGTAGCTGCTGAAAAACAAACACGGGCGCACGTGTAGAGCAGCTGTGTGCAGATATCACACTGGATACTGGTGTATATGCATTTGGCAAACCGTTCCTTTCAGGTGTATTCCCCAACAATCACTGCGAGCACAGAATGTCGTGTCGTGACAAAATGGCAGCACAAAAGCACATGGCAAGCAACGCGCCTGTTCTGTTGCACGAGGTGAAATGGAGCCACGGTTTCTATGGTAATGGCAATATGCTCCCTGCCCGTAACATGCAGCCAAGCCACTGTGGTTAAAACCCCAGCTGCAATGATTTGGTGAGCATTACCTGCCAGACCGTGGGCACTTCACAGAGCCAAGCTCCACGCGGTCCGCCAAATACTGGTACAAGTCCAGCTGCTGCGTCTTTCCAGCAACCATCAAATGCATCATGATCTGGACCGACAGCACATTCATCAGATACTCCACACTGCTGTATTGGACCATTGCTGCCAGCAGAAACAACAACAACAACAAAAAGAGAGAGAGAGAGAGAGAGAGAGAGAGAGAGAGAGAGAGAGAGAGAGAGAGAGAGAGAGAGAGAGAGAGAGAGAGCGAGAGGAAGGGAGGGAGACAGACAGACAGGCATAGAGACAGGCATAGAGACAGACAGACAGAGAGCTGATATTTAGAGTGCGTTCTTATATTCTCCAGCATCTCAGAAGAAGAAAGAAGAAGTCGAAGAAACTGGTATAATTTAAGAATTGGTCTCTAAGAATTCGGAGATATTTTGCACATGTGAAGCAATATGAAGCCCCAAAGGGGCCGCGGTCTTGAGTCTTACGAATGTAGCACACATTGTGCGTATGTAAAAAGGGAAACGTGCACACTCATGATCAACACATGGCTTTTAGCTGTAGTTCGCATGCGCTGATCCCAAATGGCGGGAAGCTCCAAGTTTCAACCACCTCTGAAGAACCACCTAAAATTCGGAGAGGATATACGAACAGCTCTCGAACTTTTCAGAGAGTCTCTAACTTTTCCGAGAGGATTTAAGACCGCACTCTTAAATTTGGTAACGCTTTCATTTAGGCCATATTTTGTAGACAACATGCAAACCTTTGGCTAATGCTTTTAAAACTAATCACCTTGATTCAATGCCACACATAATGCACAGAAAGGAGTGGCACATATCCTAGACCCAGTCGTTCTCAAACAATTACAACGATGATGGTAACGGTGATGACTACGATGCTGACGACAAGAAGATAATCGTAAGGTTGAGGGATCATCTTACATGCAGGAATATCATGGAGAAAATTTCTAATTGTCTGTGGTATCTGACTATCAGTTGTTGCAGGGAATCTGACATCGGCTAGTTGAGCAAACAATGATTGCGTCCTGTAACAGAAGTACGACTTGAGCTGGTCATGATCCGAGTTGTTGAGGTAGTTCAGAGGTGCACGCGTCGTCTTGAAGAACGCCATATCAATTGGGCAGGCACCAATGGCTGCCTCTCTTTCAAGCTGTGTACACAAACAAACACACAATGGCACATACACACACGCACAAACACGCACATACACATACACACAGATACATACACACATACACCCCCACTCCCCCCCCCCCCCGAACACACACACACACACCTGTCCTGTCGAGCCACTGCCACAAGGGTCACGTGGGCCCCGGAGGGGCAACGGAGAGAGAAGAGGAGAACGCCGTCCCACGGCGTCCGGGACACAACGAGAGGTCGCCAGGATTCAGGTCCGTCCCGCTCCACCAGAGACCTCACGTTCCAGCACCCAAAGCGCATACGACGACGTCTCCTCCTCTCTCTCCTCTCGTTGACAAACTTCATAATGCGCGATGAAAAAATGCTCGGGGGCTTGTCAAACCGCCGCGAGTAGCAACGAAGGGTGCAGGCAGAGGTGACGGCATCAAACCCCGTCCCGTCCTCAACCTACGTCGACCCCTTCGTCGAAAGCGGCTCTACTCGCCCAAAGGCTGGCCCACGGGGCCGCCCAAGGCCTGGAAAAACTCTAGAGAACACCTGAGATGGGAGCTCGAAAAAGCACCAACCGTCCTCCACCAGTGCAGGGGAGAACACACACACACACGCACGGGCGCGCGCGCGCGCGCACACACACACCCACACACACACACACAATTTATATATTCTACATTTCTGCCAACTCTCCAGCCTTAGCAAGCAACTGGTTATGTTTATGCTAAGCTGCACAGTGTCTACCATACCAACCATAACACCAACAGCCACCACTCACAAGTAAAGAAGTCTTGACACAGCAGAATCAAATGCGTATCCTCTACTCCTACTATTCATATAAGGAATATACCGTAAAATGCCGTTGATCCGCCCCGCTCTAATTCCCTCCCCCTGTCGAATTTCTGCCTGTGAAGCGATTTTGGCGTATACAACGAAATACGATGTTGAACCGACGCATGTACTGCTGGACACAATACGTGCGAGTGCAGGATGAAAATGTGCACAGCATTCCAGGTCTGATCTTCTGCTTTGTTGTACATCGTACTGCAATTGAACAACTTTATCTAATTCCCGCCCCCTGCCGAATAACCAGCTAGGAAGCGACACAGAGTGGGGGAAGGAGGGGGGGGGGGGGGACGGATCAACGGTACTTTAGGTACATGTATAGAACAATGTTTCTCTACTCCTCTCCACCACGCGCGCTCTTCAGCAGACTAGCTAGCATTGTATTATTGAAAGGTCGAATGGTAGCAATCAACACTTTAGAATCACACAACAGTTCATGGTTTTACCAGAATCTCGAGATTCCTTAGCCCATGAGCTCACAATGACACCAGAGTGACATCACAATGACATCATAATGACACCATAACTGTTAATGACATCACAGTGACACCACAGTGGCATCACAATGACGCACCATGACAAAGTATGGCTGTACATACCAGTAGTCGTGCCACTGCGGTGTTGAGTACCTCTTGGCCATCAACTAACGGAGTGTCCGGTACCCCTCCACTGCCAACATACGCAACACCCGACAGCAGATTCTCCAGTGCTACATAGTCGTTCACCACAATGGCCTTGTAGCCGTAGTTCACCCAGAACACTCGCTTTGGGTCGGCGTTGATGCCGCCACGCTCCGCAAAGTACCACGCCGCGTCATTCATACCCTGCATCAATAGCCAGATCACGGTCCATGATGGCAATGCAGTACACACAAAGTGTGGTGCCATGAGACTACTGGTGACTAAAGAATAACCAAGACTTAGTATCATCAGCTTGCGTGGTGTACCCAATACGGGAGGTTCAATAATGAATCTCCACATTCTCCAGTCCCTGCCATGTGTGATGGGGTATAGTGTGTCTATTGTGAATAGTGAATACTCCTTGGCATTGGCTTTAACATACCGTAAAAGCCCGTGTATAGGCCCCCGGGCGTATAGAATAGCAGCCTCGATTTCCTGGGCGGATACAAGGGCACGGGCGTTATTTTGGAACCGGGCGTATACTTGGAATGGGGATAGCAGTAAGTATTGGGTATCAGTACCTGTACATGTACTGGTGTTTCCGGCATACCTGGGTGTATACATGGGCATGGGCGCTATTTTGAAACAAAAGGCTTGACTTCCCCTGACTGGGCGTGTACACGGAGGGTGGGCGTAATTTCGAGTGGGCGTATACACAGGCTTTTACGGTAGCCCTTCCCAGGTCCCAGCAAGTATGCATGTCACCAAGACCGGACAGGCTGAGCTGCATCAGTGGGTTTAGGAATACAAACCACTACATACGAGTACCTACAATACATACAGTGCAACTCTCTGATAACATGTACATGTACTCGAATGAGAAACAAAACTGAGTGTGCAAGTATCCCCTGCGGCATGTCGGCGAACACACTCAATATTCAATATGGGACTTCACCAGTGACTCTGCACTTCACATGTAGACCATGATTTGCAAGACTCCATGTGTACACACCTGTCATGTTTCGGAATGATGTTAGGTCTCTGTTGGTGCTAGGTCGACTGATGAGACCTATTTCACACCGAGACTCTCTACAACAGTGACCTGAAGTGAATTCTGAACACGTGTGCGCAACACAGGTCTTGGCAGAATACTGTTCAAACAACAGGCCCCCAGTCGCTATTGCTATGCCGAGATGGAATGCAACCATATTGGGACAAATGAACCCCGTACAGGATAGACATACCCGCCAGTTGAAACGAGGCCCGTCGACAAACCAGTAGTTGAAGAGGTTTCCGTACGGGATGTCCTTCGCTGTTGCCTCAAACCCACTGAAGCGGACCTTGGCCAGTGGCCCGGCTACATACGTACATGTACATAGATACAGAATAGAATGCACACACGTGCACACACAACACTCAGACTCAGAGACATGCCCATCATGGAAGCAATGATAGCGAACTGCTATGTTAGACATAGCAACTTGTGCTGGGATTACACCATTCAACAGCTTGCAAGGCCGATGAATTCACCCCAAACTAATTTTAGCCTGGTATCCACCACACAGCTGATTGAAGTGGCTTTTTCTGGCCAGTGAATCCCTATTTTTCATTACACACACGCACACACACCATGTACACACACACACACACACACACACCACACACACACACACCACACACACACACACACACACACACACACACACACACACACACACACACACACACACACACACACCACACACACACACACACACACGCGCGCGCACACACACACACACACACACACACACACCTTGGACCGGCTTGGACGCGCTGCCATATTCTGGCTATGCAAACCCCATGGGGGGTTGAGCAGGTTCGGAACAGTAGGGGCGATGACGGGATAGGTCCTGTGGTCTACTAAAACACCGACCGCAATTGCAACCGATGCAGAAGGAGCTACGGTCTGTGTTGGTTGCTCTGGCCGAGCCACGGCTGCACTTGTGACGCTTCATGCCTTGGCGTGATAGCACACAGCGGTTGCAGCGGGCGCAGTGGAAGCTGCAGCGTTCGCAGGACATATTGTTCGTAACTGGTGACTCAGGTGTGTCAGAAGATGCCTCTGCTGGTGATGTTGCTGGCAAGCACTTGTGCTGGGCAAATCCACCCTTGCTCCGGAACCATCTGTCACACTGGTCGCAGTGACAACTTCCTGGCTGTTGGCTTACAGGCTAGGCAGGGCACGCGTAGCTGTACACTTGTGTCGCTACCTGTCACTTACACGACTGAAGGAGTGGTGACAAGTTTGGCACACAACCGGTGATGGTCGAGGTCTGTTCTGCTTGTCTGGCAGACAATGGTAAGCATTGCGCCATTTGGAGCGAGAAGAGGTGGCCACTTCATACCAGTCGTCAAGTGGTTTGACGTCACTCCGAACACAGTCTCCTCACCTTTTTCGCGAACCATGGGCAGGTATCTTGTTTGGAAACGAACCGAACAGGAGAGCCTTCGGGATGCGCTCATCCTCCATCCTTGACACATGACCAAGCCACTCAAGGCGACGTCTGCTGAGACGACACTCCATGCCCAAGGTATCTCCCCAGCGCTCCAGAACTTCAACATTAGTTATCCTGTCATTCCATACATTTTGACGACACACACACACACACACACACACACACACACACACACACACCGGATAACCATAAACAAAGATAAGCTCCAATGTCCACTTTTGTCAAGTGCGTGTGTGTGTGTGGGGGGGGGGGGGTGCACAGATATGACATCGATACAATACTGATGAGTTCCTGGGGGGCTCAATGCCGGCCTTGGGTTTAGGCATGACACATCGCTAAGAGATCGCTGCTGGTGGCATGCAGTGATTGATAATGTAGATCTACTATGCATGTAGACAAATACGGTCACCGTATTTTCCCGAATATAAGTCTACCTTTTACGACCTAAAAACGGAACTAAAACAGGGATAGTCGACTTACAATCGGGGTTTAACTTTGACTTTTTTAAACCGGGGTCGACTTATAAACGGAAAAATATGGTATGCTTTGGCATACGAATTTCGTGCAGGCACGTAGCTTACCAAGCTTCAATGCTGGCAACGGGGACATGCCGACTTATTTGTAGAGGTCAAACGGGTGTACCCTTAACTAACGAACGGGTAATTTTCTTACCGGGCGGGTTAACGGGTACCCTTTAGCAGCCATGTTTAATTTTTGCGCATTTTTTACATAAATCATGATTTTAATTTACATTTGTATCTGGTCTCAGGTTGCATTTTGATATCACATTGTGATTCGCGAATTGATTTGTGTCTGATAGTTGCAGAGGCAGACCTACTAGGTGCGAAAATGCAACAACAATGCAGACATCCAGGGTGGAGTTGTTAATAATTGACTCCCGCCAGGAATGCGCGATCCCAGCGGTGTTGTTCCGTACTGACTGGATCATCGAAATCCAAACGGGTACCCTTTTACTAACGGTACCAGAGATTAACGGGCGGGTACCCGGGTACCCGGAACACCCCTTTGACCCCTACTTATTTGCCCAGCCTAGTAGGTAGCACAAACTAGCCTCCGCATCCGCAGGCCACCACTATGCCTGTGTTTCTGAACTTTCAAGCGATGCCGACGCGGATCCCGCGAATACTATTACCGTATTATCTCTAATATAAGCACAGTCTCCAATAATAGCACGTCTCCAATAATAGAACACCTTGGGGCGGCATTCAAAAAATAAGGTGCTCAGTCTCCATTATAAGCACACTGTGTAAATTCATTATCTGTACTGGCGAAAAAAAACCCTGAAATGTGTGTGTCTGACATGAATTTGGCATGGCAACATGCCTCTGAAATGAGGTTGAAATAATAATGGAACAGTCTCCAATAAAGGAACGTCTCCATTAATAGCACGGGGCGGAGGTACATTGAAAAAATAAAGGACCGTGCTTATATTAGAGATAATACGGTATTATAGAAGGTAGCACAGTGCTTATGACTGACACACAAAGCGACAAGACGGCAGTGCACTGGACACGTGCGCCCGCAGCATATTCCATAGTTCAGTGGGTCAGTCACGGGCTAGAATAGCTATGCTCATTGCTCTACATGTAGGCCGCTCGCCCCAGTACCATGAGTACAGTGTATGGATACCGGTACTAGTAGTAGTATGATGTTGAAAACGGAGGAGTTCTTACCTACTCCCACTGGGAATAGAGCCATGCCGTTGCCTCAGGCCAACCGATCCGCACCCAGCCAAGCAGTTGCCGGCTGGGTCAACACACGGGCGTGGGTGCTGTTTCGTCGTCCTCTGACCTTGGAGCAATACAACATTAATTTTGTCGCCGAAAATTCCGCGTAGACTGGGCAACAATGGCAGTCAGCGGACAGGTTGCAGTTCGTACTGGGTTATCTTCGTCCGCGTTACAATGTCGATGAGACGTCGTCCCTTGGTCGCTCGACCATCTCCCGCGAAGTATTTGTCTCATCGAACACGTTCTCGATCGGCATTGAGTTCGTTGCTTCCCAGGCGAAGCGGCGGTGAAATACTATACCAGCCAAACACACCGCTATCTTTCCAAGGTTTTCCTGTGGAAAAGTGACCAAGGAAGAGAACTGAGCTAACTGGGAATGCTCTAGCCTAGTCTAGGGCAGGGAAGACTCCCTTGCTCGAAGGTTGTGACTTCCTCCCGCACATGGTGGCCGAGTGCCAGGGCACAGACTAAGGAACTCAACTGGCCAATACTGCAGGGACCACTTCAGCTTCTCGACTCGGACTCGACTCGGACTCACCGGTTCAAATAGTTCTGTGGTTCAGCTCTTCTGCACAGTGTAAAGTACCTAGTTACGTAACGATTACGTAAGTAGAGCAGAGTCGGGTAGACCAGCTACTAACCATGCTAACTGAGCTACAAATGTAGTGCACATGTACATGACATGTATGTCGTAGTCAACGGTCGGAGAGCGGAGAACTCGGAGCAGAGACCGGCAATCTCGGGTAGGAAACTCCAAGTAATCAATTTTAGTTCAACTCACACAATCCGACGAGATGATGGTGGCCATCATCCTGAAAGTCGCTCACGGTCACATTTTCAGTGATACCTTCCTACGTGTAGGCCCGGTACATAAATACAAGGCTGATGTGAATAATATTCCTGGGCGATAATTATGATAGTCACATGCATGTACAATGTCATGTAGGTGAATACAAGGAGGAAAACTAGTCTTCCTTCTGCCAGCGGAGAGGGCTCAACACAATAATGTGGAGCACTAGTACACACAAAAAGGCACAGCGGAGGTTTACAGAATTGTCGCAACTCAGAGTTTCTTGCTCAATGCAATCGTCAGGTGACTTATGACATGTTCAGTGGGACTTGGCCAATATAAAGCATAGTTTGGTGATAGCTAGTTGGTATCTGATTCAGCACCGACGCCAGCAAGATACTGGAAAGCACTGATCGAGAAAGTGGAAAGTGTCATCAAGCGCATGAGATGGAAGGCCTTCTTCTTCGGGAAGGACCAGGAAGAAGAAAGAGAAACCTACGGCTTCAAGAGCAAGCACACACCACCACAGATTGAACACTTTAACAGTTCTGAAGGATTACCGTCACACCCTGGCTGCTGTTTACAAATTCACACCTTCCATTTCTATTTTCACTAGCAATCTATACTTTCTGCGCTAATAGTTCCCTCGCCCAAGCACCCAAGGGACCATCCACACGGCCATCATGGCAACATTTTCTGTGCTGAATCAGATACCAACTAGCTATCACCAAACTATGCTTTATATTGGCCAAGTCCCACTGAACATGTAATAGTCGCCTGATGATTGCATTGAGCAAGAAACTCTGAGTTGCGAAAAATCTGTAAACATCCGTTGTGTCTTTTGTGTGTAATAGTGCTCCACATTATTGTGTTGAGCCCTCTCCGCTGTCAGAAGGAAGTTTTCCTCCTTGTAGCTGTGTTGCATCCTTTCACAAATAACGGGCTGCTTCATTATCAGATTCATCCCCAAGAAGCAGCCAGAGAAGTGTGAATGCTCCAATAGTTATGTGAAGTAGAGAGAGAGGTAGGTAGGAGCCGCTGCCATCATAATCATAATACATACTACAGTGCTGGCAACTGAAATCCGAGCCCCTTGGCGGCGCGGCGCGCCGCCAAGGGGCTCGGATTTCAGTTGCCAGCACTGTACAACACAGACATGACAAAATTAATGATGCACACGTATTGGTGAGATTTTGCTGCATGGATTGGTGATTACAAGTAGCCACTGCACTGCATTGAATCCTATGCATATGTACCGGTATACAAATTTGAGAATTGTGAATGCATGTATCCTCTTGGAAGATTCTAGTAGAGCAGATGGGTTGTAAATTATTGACAGGGATAAAAAATTAAAAAACGGCAGCTACTCTGGTGCCATAACTACATGTATGTGCTTGCTAGGGCCAAGTAAAATAGTGCCGGGCTACTGTGCCAACTGGAGAACGACCAGGGGATGAAAATGTATACACAGACCTTGGAGTGCTGGCTTTCAAACGGCATGGCTATAGCTCATAATGAGTACGCAGACTCACGCCGAGAGAAGAAAAGAAAAACATCGGCATCAGTGGTGTGCTTCTATGCTAGCTATGGGAGGGGGGTGGGGGGAGCACAATTTATTTGACTGGTGCAAAAAGAAAGGAAAGCCGGAGTGACATGATAACGGGATGGGCGCGAGGGCCTCTGTGCATAATTATGCATCATGAATCATGTGAACACTGTGCTGTGCAGAGTGGTCTGGTAGAGACTACCATGCATTGCTGGTCACGGCCGTCCTGCAAGTGAAGGCCTGTTGGCGTGGTGGACGTTGTGAACCCTGAACAGTTCTCGGTGTCGCCAGATCCACGACGAGATCTGTTATAGAGTGGACAAATCGCCACCGGGGACACAGACAACAAAGGTATTCTTCAAACACATCACTGGCTTGTTTACATTGTAGAATTCCCGAACATCAGACGTTTTGTTCACCTCCTCCACATTGAATTGGGGAGTTACAATATTGGCACTCCCAGAACTGAATTCAATGTATGGCTTTTTTAAGTTAAGAAATCAAATTTTATGGCAGTCCAAACTTTTAATTAAAATACTTGGGGAGCTTAGAAAAGAGGTATTACTCCTGCTTCTGCATGTGCAGGGTTTACCGGGTGTTAGCGGCCGTCGTGAGTTCCCTTCGGGAACGGACACGATAATTTACTTCTTTTTTTTCTGCATGTGCACTAACTTCGATGGTAGAATTCAATAAAATATATCTAGAGTGCGGATGCAAGTTTTTGCGCTCCGCGGTCGAGTTTGTTTCACCGGTGTAGCTGCCTTTGGCAGGACCGCACCTACACTGATTTGTTCTAGTGTTGATGTATGACTCAATAATATGGCGACCAACGAAGATATGGACTTAGCTCTGCTGACATACGAGGAGCTGCTCACAGTTGCCCGAGCTACAGGACTGACCAACCCGGAGACAATGGGCCGACAAGACTTGGTTGTTGCCCTTCGCAAGGAAGGACTAGGAATACGGAAGTCACCAGACCAAATGGTAAGCGACCTGCTCTCCACTTTCCAGCTGCTTAACGAGACTATAAAAGGTATGGCTTCAGAAATAGAATGTCTTCGAACGAGCAAGACAGACGCCATTGTCTCCTTGCAAGTAGAAGTTGCTCAACTGAAGGGAGTAGTAGAGAGAATGCAGTCCACAAATCCCGTACCCGTAGCGTCCCCAGCTTGCACTGCACCAAGAGAAATTGTACAGTAGCACTGCAAGGAAAGCTGCCTCACCAACAGGCACACACACCAGCACGGACGGTAGTACACGTACTACTACAAGAAGTAGTACCCCAACGGCCAGACCTGACCTGCCCGCCAAACCTCAAACGCAAGATACAAGCACAAGCGACAATGGGTGGCAAAACCACACCGCCGCCGCCCTGCACAAGCCGACACCAACACTACCAGTAGTCCACTGAAACGCACTATCACAAGCCAGTTCACAAAAGAGCCAGCCCGTACCAAACGCACTGACCTTCAGGGCGTGGAGCGGGTGAAGCGCACGGCTTTCTACCTTGGCAATGTAGACCTTGGATGCGATGCTGCCTCAATTGAACTGTGGTGTAAAAAGAAAGATGTCGAAGTTTTTCACTGCTCAATCTCAGAATCACGGTACTTTGGTACAGCTTATGCCCACATGGTTGTGGGAGAGAACTGTGTAGACAAGATCCAAGGGCCTGACTTCTGGCCTGACAAAATTAGTATCCGGAAATGGAGGTTCCACACTGACCAGACTGAATCTGAACAATGAGTAAACCAACACCTCAACTTGACCCTAACGCAACACCCTTCTATCCTTCAACGCCCCTAGCCTCCTTTCCCGTAGCCTGCATCAATGCACGTTCCCTTAGAAACAAATCTGCTGAGCTATCCTACTTTCTCACGACCAGCTGTCCCCTTGTTGTTTGCATAACTGAAACCTGGTTGTGTCCACAAATTTCCCTCTCCTTCCCAGGCTATGAATGTTTTCGAAGGGATCGACCCACCTCCGAGAATAAAATTAACACCAACGACTTCCTGGCCTATGGCGGTGTTGCTATCTTAGTAAAATCAAGTGCATTTGGTCCTATTACCCACGGTACAGACCTACATCTTCCGCAATTCGAAGCTACCTGGGTAGAGATATCGCCATCCACTGGAACCTCTGCTTGCCCCACGCGCCAGCAGCCCATCCAAATTGCGGCTGTCTACCGCCCACCGTCTACCGACCCGTCGGTGATAGATAACTTTTACGCCTCATTTCAAAGCTGCTTGACTAAAATACGGACCCCTGGCTCGCCAGTCCTCATCATGGGAGATTTCAATGCTAAATGTTCCACCTGGTATGGAACAACAACAGACACTGCAGGCCACCACCTTCCATGTCTTCTTGACATGTTTTCCTTGCAGCAACACGTCACATTCTCGACCCACCGCTCCCACAAAGGCAATGAGGTTGCTCTGGACCTGATGATCACTGACACTGCAGCCAGCATCTGCGATCCGCGCCCCTCAGCCCCTCTCGGTCAGTCGGACCACTCAATTGTTCTCGGCCGTTTGTGCATCCCGACATGTACCGCATCACCACCTGCACCCAACACTACACTGCCCTCCCATTCCTTCCAGATACCTGACTTCAGTCAGTTTGACATCTCCTCCATTCTTCCCACTCACCTAGTTGCTCTAAATGAATCTATTGCTATTGTGAACTGGCATGCTGCTCTCCAGTTGAAGCTTGGAGATCCAAACCGTACTGCTCCAGCATTTTATGACATCCTTCATGGTCTATGCTCCGCTTTCCTACCCACCCGGTCGCGCTCTTCAGCCCCTAGACGACGTACACCAAGTCCCCCGTGGCTGACACGTGCTGTTAAAGCTCAGCTGAAGAGGAAGCGAGACTCGTACAGCTTGTATCGCAAGTATCCTACCCCTAGCAATCACGAGCATTACAAGTGCGAACGTAACAGAGCACGAATCCTATCTAGAGAGGCTCACCGCCAGTATGTGTCCTCCATTAGCACTAACCCCTCATCCATTATTGCATCCACCCCTAGTTTGTTCAAGTTTGTTAAGCAGCTTCGTTCGCCGACCCCTGTTGGAAACCCTATCATCACTGAACTCCATGAAAATAACACAGTACACAACGACCCTACCCAGATTGCCAATGCTCTGAATCGCCAATTCATCAGCTTTGGAACACCGGATGATCCTGCATGGTCTCTTCCTGGTATTCCATACCACGGGCTCCCAGCACTACCCTCTTTTAGCACTACTCCCACCGCCATTGCCCAACACATCCGTAGCCTAAAGCCCAAGAAAGCGGCAGGTGCAGATGGCATATCCCATGAACTCCTAAAAGCCCTGTCTCCTAGTATAGCTATCCCTCTCAGCCTAGTTTTCAACCAGTCCTTCGCCACCGGAATCTTCCCTGATGTCTGGAAGGCAGCTGTGGTTGTGCCTATTTACAAGAATAAAGGCAGTAAACTGTCTGCATCCAATTATCGGCCGATTTCACTCCTTTCCACCATTTCAAAGCTCTGTGAACGTGTGGCATTTGGCCACTTATACCAACATGTGAACCCGGTCCTTGATCCGTCACAGTCTGGATTTCGGCGAGGCGATTCGACCGCCTGGCAGTTGCTGAGGCTTGTGCAGAAGCTCTATGAATGCAAGGATCAGAAGCAATTTAGCCTCCTATGTTTTTTCGACCTGAGCAAAGCATTTGACACTGTCTGGACAAGGGGTCTCCTCCATAAGTTAGCAGCGTTTGGCGTGGCCGGGACGTGTCTGCAGTGGCTCACCAGCTATCTCACTGAACGTCGACAGAGTGTTCGAATTGGACATGCCCTGTCCGCCCCTCTAACAGTCCACTCTGGAGTGCCCCAGGGCTCTATCTTGGGGCCTCTATTTTTCATCGTATACGTTAATGATTTGGCAGGTTTGGATCATACCTCACTCTACGCGGACGATACAGCGCTCCATATAACCGAGCCAGGATTATTACAAGCCTGCGACTCGCTACAGTATCACATTAATCAAGTTGTGCGCTGGATGTCGAAGTGGAAGCTCCGCCCCAATGTGTCGAAAACGGCAATCCTTTGTATCCCCCCACGACCCTCCAGTGACCTCACCCTCTTTACGACTTGGCTTTTTACTTTCCCTGATGATCCCATTGCTATCAACATCGTTAAAAATCACAAACACCTTGGTATATTTCTTGATGAACACTTGTCCTGGGATTCGCACGTAACCTATATTGAAAAGCGAGTTTGCTCCGCGATAGGCTGCATTTCTCCTCACATCTCCCATCTACACCATGGTTGTCGAATACAAATTTATCACTCTTATGTTCTTCCTTTGTTTGATTACTGCTCTCTCGTTTGGTCCTCCGGTCTATCCTCCGCTCTTATGCATCGGTTAGAAGTCACCCACCGTAAATTACTTCGATTAATATTTCGCATGCCCCCCCCTCTGACCTCCTCTCAGACGCTATACATTTTGGCTTCCTCTTCCCCTCTCTCCGAACGCTTTCCCCACTCGGCATGCAAATTCATTCACCGTATTAAGCTTCAACTTGCTCCTCCTCATGCACTTGCGCATTTAAGCTGGTTCAATAATAGCTCGCGTACTAGATGTTCTCTCCATTTCCCACTTGCCAGATCATCGATCCTTTTAAAATCCCCTCTGTTCAAGACCTATTCTCATTGGTCTCGGCTTCCGCAGGAGGTAAAGTCTCGTGACACCTTCGCTGCATTTTGTTCCATTCTGCCCGCGCCTAAGTCGAATTGAATTGAGTTCGTTGTTTTCCATTGCTAGCCTAATCTTCATACTGCTCTCTCCAGGTTCCTATAGTACTTCTTTTGTTTTGTTTTGTTTTCTCTTTTTTCTCCTTCTTTTTCTCAGTTGTCCCCACCATGGCTGGTTAAAATCGCCCGCATCACATGCTTATTGGCACTATGTCATCGTGATTGTGGAATAATAATAATAAAAATAATAATAGACAAGCTAGGCATAATAGTGTTATTTCAGCTGGACATCCAAGTGCAATCATTTTCAGTGCAGTGTGGTCTCCTGACACTTTTAAAAACACACAAAATCAAAGAGTAAGTAGAAGAGGCAAGACCAGGCAAAGTTGCACGTACCGGGAGTCATTTCCTTCTCTGTGGGCTTCACGCACATCTATCACGCATCTGCCACCAACTCCGAGGCTGTAACGCTGATGTTCAAGGCGGTAAACTGAAACGATTCGAACTCTGGCGGCCGGTCCGGCAAGCCTTCTGCTCGGTATCTAGACGGGAAATGAAGCCGGCGCAGGTCAGAACAACAGCTGGAGTCTATGTCTCAGAGACTTGAGGCTAAAATCCCAATTTATATGCTAAGCTGATGGTAATTGGTAGGGGCTGCAAGAAAATGAAAACTATGCTGGTTCAGCCGACGTTGCCCACCGTTCAGCGGCTGAGATATTTTGACGAATGAGCTGGAGAGAGAATGCCGCTAAATGGATGCAAACTACCGTGAAGTCTTGTATAAAAGCCGCACTTGAATAGAAGCCGCACTTGAATAGAAGCCGCACTTGAATAGAAGCCGCCCTCGAATAGAAGTCGCAATTTTGGGCCCATCAAATCACACATAAGCCTGGTTTTAGTGTTGACATACATAGAAATACCTCTCTTGTATAGAAGCCTGTCTCATATAGAAGCCTGCAAAATTTCACCAAGAAAGTCACAGAAGCCGCGGCTTTTATACAAGACTTTGCGGTAAGTGAGGGGGCCGGGCTAGCAACAAACACATCAACCGGTGTGAAACTACAGCCTGAATAAGTCTACTTGCATCTTACATGATGCTCTCTTGATAGACCATGATCTGTACGTTCTTTTTGTGCATGTAATCATACAAAGAAGCTTGAATGATGCGGCTTTGAATCAGGTAAACAAGAAGAGTCAACAATATAGCATTGATGTTGGTGGCTCTTACCCAGACCAGTACGGCTTGGTCTTCAGTGAATAGGAACAGTGTGACAATTGGCTGGCAAAGAGCTTGGCTACTGAGCGCACAAAATCCTGGGCACGCAAAACAGTTTACATGCTCTCAGACATCACACAATTCGGCCACATGCATCAAGAACTACATGTTCTGCTTGCCGCTTTCTACCCCGCAGCCAAGAATCCGACTCGCAAACTGTAGATACAGGTGCTCAAATTCATGTCTTTCCTTCCACAGGCTTCCTATACTCCAGGTTCACACTGTCAATTATTAGCATTCAGCAAGCTTGCCAAGCCTTTTTATACTGATAACTTGAAGCCGAGGTATGTTGCGACTTCTTCATGCCAGGCTGATTGAAAGTACTTAGCCTGTGGCAATTTCGTACGATATGACTCCATGAGAATATTTTTTTTACTAGGGTTGTGTAGCAAGCATGCAACTACCGGTATTCAAATATCTTCCTCGACCTAACTGTGCTTCAGTATTCAAAAAGGAAGTTTCAAATTCAATGCCGCTTCGAAATAACACTACACCTGGTGCATGTGCGTACCGAGGCATACTCAGATAGCGACGGGGGCACCTTGATGTTGAGGGCTGTGCCAACCGGTGTCTTGGCAGTATACTCCCGGCTACTGCAGAGGACAGCCATGCATTTTGGGAGGATGGAGATGGCTTCCACGGCAAAACTGCCACAGCTTGATTTTTGAAATATCTTGTATGGCAGTTGCTTCTTCTTTGAGGAGATCAACAAAATCATCCATATGCCAACTATCATGGCTGGGTGTTTTGTACATCTTACCCCAAGACGATCCACTGCCTTTTAGAGCCAGGTTGCTGGGGTGTAAAGAAAGAGAGGTAGGGTGAGTGGGAGAGGGAGGGAGAGGGAGAGGGAGGTGAATGGGAGAGGGAGAAATAAAGAGAGGGAGAGATAACCAGGTTACTAGTAGGCTTGAGCGGTGGACCAAAGTTCAGTTTTTGGAAAATATTCCTACCTATTCATATGTAGGTTTCTTTGCGGTAGTGGGCAGTGTTTTTGAATTTAGGGATGAAACGAATGCCAATATTGAGGACTCGAGTACTCTTTGAAAAAAAAAACGAGCGAGTGTTCGAGCGAGTACGAGTATTTTGCTGACAACATAAAACATTGCACTGCACACACTCTCGCAACACCGAACGTACTACACCTGATACACATGTAGTCTTGCATGCAGCCTAGTGCAGGAAATAGTCTCAGAAGTGCTGTATTTTGCTGGTAAGCAGGGACAAGCAATAATTTCGCCCTCGCATGGGCTATCAGTACCGGTTAAAGTAACAGAAATGTTTGATGTACATGCATACTGTACACTGTACATAGGATACTTCAAGTATTTTGCGAAAAGAGTACTCGCTCGTTTCAAATTTCGAGCGAGGGCTCGAGTATTCGATATACTCGTTTCACCCCTACTTTTAATGCAGTATTGATTTACCAAAGTCGTGGGGTGTTTTCATCATACAAGTAGCCATACACATGGGTGCAATACTTACAGGAGCTGGGCAGTAATGATTCCCGTCACCGGTCTCGGATACGTTAGGATAGCTCCCTCCAAACACAAGTAGTTTGCTGAGCAGCTGGAAAAAAAATATTTTGTTTCGAAACATTATGTTATTCACTCGCACCGATACTGTCAAACTGACTGGCAAAACAAATAAAAAGAAACAAAAAAAGTGCAAATGTTCAGTGCCCAAGCCAGCACCGAGTGGTACGATTTACGAACAATGTGCAATTCTTTGCATTGCCTTCATCTAAGCATGGTTTTAGCCTCACCCGTACGCTCTTGTCCATGAACCTTGTGATGTCAAACTCGTCACAGCGTGGTCTGTGTGTTGCATGCTTGGACGACGGAATACCGAACGTGGCGTTGTCTCTCTGTGCTGAGTGCAAGTTGCCAATAAGGCGATCACCTTTAGTGACTTTGTAGTAGCCATCACTCGAGGGCAGGTAGAACGTCTCTCTGAAAATAATACAGAAAAAGGCCCGGGTAACGGTTGTATACAGTTTTTCATTCTTTTTTTTATTCTCTTGTTTGTGCCGCGTCACAGAATGTACTTATTCACTGCAACAATGAACTAATGGGTTGGTTATGCCTCGACTGCTGTTTCAATGCACTCCATTTGTTTATATACTACTTCTTGTTGTGGAGTTGAAGGTTCTCCCAAGTCACTGAGGCAGTTGATGATTCACTGCTCAATTTTCACACGGCCACAGTGGTGCCACATACAAGTAAGAGGTTATCCAAGGGACTATCGGGGACTGCTTCACTCCAGCAGCTATTCTCTGGGTTTGGTGTAGCTCAGTAGTAGTAAAGAGTCACGGCGGCCAAGTCACGGCAATGAGTATGACAAGTTTGAAAACACTGACTTTATACACACACATACACACGTGCGTGCGCACACACAGAATTATACACGAGCAGCAATGCGTCCCGGTTGGCCCTAAACAGGCTTTCTTACAGTGCTCGGAAGAAGATCAACTGCTGAGGCGGATGTACCCGAAGAACCTACAGCCAGCCAGACACATGACAGGCAGCAACACAGGAGAACGCTCCCAGAACATGAGACTTCTAAAACGTTTTGTTAAAGTTCAATACAGCAGTGGAGGGTTGCATACTGGTCACGTGTAGTTGATATGGTCACCTTTAAGCAACCTGTTGCCTATGTTGCAAAAGAAGGATCCACGAGCGGGATTCTAACCCAGCCGTAACCCCTGTCTTTCTGGGACAGTGTCCCACTGATTAGGCAGCCAGGAATCACGCACACACACGCACGCACGCACACACGCACGCGCGCGCGCGCGCGCGCACACACACACACACACACACACACACGTGGCTCCTTCTTGCTACACCCATAAGGACATTATTGTCGCAAGCAATTCTTGCACCTGGGTCATTCCGGGGGCTAGCAACCATCGCGAGTTCCCTCGGGTCGAATGGAGACGAAAACTTAACGTCTCAGTTTAACTCAATTCTTGCAGCAGATGGATAGCCCACAGTGAAGCCTGTCTAAGCCGACCGCTTAAGGGACTTTCAAAACGTGGCCCGTGCTACTAGGTGGTCTCCTTATCCAGGGTCATGTGACTGGAAATAGCCTCCCGTGTGTTCTGGTTGCAATGGTCTTCTGGGACAGGTAGTCGCCTTATCCAAGTGGCCGCTTTGACAGATTTTACTGTGCGGTATTTTTGAAACAGCCCCGGCCTGTTCAGTCTCACCTCATCCACCACAGCAGCACGGGCAGACGTTGCCTGGCTGTTGTAGGGGTCAGCCACAGCTTGCCAGATGGCATCGGCCGTCGGCGCGTCATGCGACCCCGCCGGCGTATCCATCAACGCCGCATTCGCCGTCGGCACCGAATCCGCAGCAGCCTTGGCATCTTCCGCCACCTGTAGCTGCATTGCCTTGTCAAGGTAGAACCGAGCTACAATATTTGTCAGAACAGAGCGTAGCGGAATGATGATGTGATGTCTACAGATGATGACACAAGGACAATGAGCAGACCGTATCACTAAGTCTTAGTTTACATGCGTAATTTCAACAGCAGTCTAATGTTAGTGAGTGTGTGTGTGTGTGTGTGTGTGTGTGTGTGTGTGTGTGTGTGTGTGTGTGTGTGTGTGTGTGTGTGCGTGTGTGTGTGGGTGTACATGCAGTACAGACAACATCTGCATGCAGGAGTCGAAGGCGACTGTCCTTTATCTCAAGCCGCACTGGATTAGCACTTCGCAGTGGTGTACGTGTAAGCGACAAACTGATTTGTTTCCGTGTAGATACCTCAACTCTGGCTAGTTTCTCACTTGGTGTCTTTGTTGAGGTTGTTTGGGTGCTTGGGCTGTCTCCTCATTCATTGTTATTGGTCACCCGGTCGTTGATTTTGCTGGAACTGACTGGGAGCACTAGTAGTAATAATAATAATTTTTAAAAGAGGTCGGAGGCGGATAATACTTTAAAAAACGAAGGTAAGTTTTGGGTCGCAAGAATCCACGCAAACACACATCCAGTCCAGGGATGAATTTACTGTCATATTTTTGCATAGCAGTTTCTGCTATACGAAATCACAATTGTGTAGCAGTCTTTGATTTTGAATAGTATTTTTCTTTGAAGGTTCGGTGTTTGCCACATTATCACTCTTGAGAGTGGTGCCTGAAAGCCCGTTTGCAGAAAAACGAATGAAGCGTACATGTGTACCCAGATTGAGAGTACCTGCACCACATACACTGCACTGTATGCATGTTACTTGACAGCGCAGGCTAGGCATGGATAGCCTGTATATATTGCAATTTTCTGCGAGTCACGGTGACTTTTGAGTAGCAGTAGATCAATTTTGCATCGCAAACTGCGATGCGATACAGGATAAATTCATCCCTGCAGTCCCAATTAGGCACTTGTCAAAAAGTATCCGAACGTTTTCGGTCCCTTCTCATCAAGGATTATACAGGGAATGGCTCAAGTTGGAAAGACTAAAACTTATATAGCGTGAAGATTATGAGATAACAACAATCGTGACAAGGTGGAAAATTATCAAGTTCAGAACGACACAAATTTGCTCACCATGTTGTTGTCACTATTATTATTTTCCTTCGAGTTTTGAAAATGTTCGAGTCCTGGTGGGTTTGGCAGTTTTATCTCTTTTCAGGCAGTTCACTTCCCCGACTGATACTTTGAATTTGAAGTTCTCCCAATCCTTTCACAAAATTAATCACTTTCTTTCACTTCTGGTAGGGTCCAGAAACCGTGACCCTGCCGGGTTGGTCCCCTGGGGGAGGGAAAAAGACCCAAGTGCCATCAGTATGTGTGGCACGTGTTGTGAGCTGCCTTTGGAGTGAAAAACTTGCCAGCGCCGTCTAGGTTCAGCCTGATCCCATAGCTCAGTGGTTAGACCATTGCTCATAACAAGCAAGGTCCCGGGTTCGAGTCCTGGTGGGTCTGGCAGGTTTTTTCTCTTTTCAGGCAGTTCACTTCCCCGACTGATACTTTAATATTTGTAATAATAATAATAATAATAATGTAGAAAGGAAAAGGACATGAGGATACGAGTTAAGAGTAACTCTCCATCACTGTAACTGGATACTATATACAGTCAGAAAGTGCAATAACTAGGCACACAACTGACAAGAGTACTGAGTTTTTTTATGGCTCAACATCCGAGTTTCAAATAATAATAATAATTGAAGCATTGGGTAGTTTACCGTGAAGTATCAATCTACCTAGCTTGTTTCTTACGTCATGATGTAGGCAAGTTGCGTAACGAGCTCCTCCACTATTGCATCTGCGCCCATTTCCAAATCGACGTAGAGGGTTACGTCTGTCAGGAGCTGTTTCTTGTACGCCGCTGATAGGATTGTCCTGACCTGCCGTAGTGCATCCACTTGGTCCAGTCGTGTAGAGGATGGCTCAGAGTAGCTGCTGAATACAAAACAGCACAGACACATACGTCGTCGTGCAGGGCAGATAGACACAGATTTCCACCAGTACGCCAGGCATCGACGTGCACTGCTTGGTACTGTCGGTGAAAGAGCGGTTTGGCACCCGCTTGTATATATAATTATATTCTTGCTCAACGATATCCCTACGGGCATGAGAACGAGTCCAGCACTGGGGTGGCAGGTCCTATCAGGGGGTTGTCATCCGGGGAATTGGCTTCCGAAATTCCAAACAACAAGAGAATTACCGTAATGCTGTAGACTACGTATCGAGGAGGAGGAGGAGGAGGAGGAGGAGGAGGAGGAGGAAGAGGAGGAGCATGCTGGTTGTCTTCATTTATGACCAGGCTCGCCGGAACCGGTCCGATTGGTCAGGTTATTACCGGACCAACTTTTCGGCCACCAATACATGTTTCCTAATGAGGAGGTCATGTGTACCCGCCATATCATACACAAACTGTATGAAAGTCATGTGTACCCACCATATCATACACAAACTGTATGAAAGTCATGTGTACCCACCATATCATACACAAAGTGTATGAAAGGCAATGATACTACCGGACCAATCAAAAACTGCTTCCGGCGGTCCTGGCGACATTATTGATGCATCTGTGGCTGCAGCTGTCACATTGGCTCTGCCCCCCCCCCCCCCACACACACACTATTCCATTCCACTGTGCTGATGTCAGTTTGAATGTACCCAGAAACGGGCCAGAAAGGACCCAGGGGCTAATTAGTAAATACCTGCCGGTAACGGGACATTTCACGGAGCCGTCCTCCACGCGGTCCACCAAATACTGATAGAGGTCCGGCAGCCGCGGTGGCGTTGTTTCACTCAGAGCCAAACGCATGGTAATTTGGACAGCCAGTACGTTCATCAGATACTCCACGCTGGTGTATTGAATCATTGCTGCCATGGCACACAAACAACAAGAAAAGAACGTGCTTCACAGCGGCCACTTGCTTATCCCGTGGAAGCTCTTGTGTCGGGTAGAACTGCCTGGTGCTGTTCATTGTGAGGACATCATGAATGGAGTTGTCATTGTGTATTGTGTATTGTGCATTGTGTGTCATGAATGGAGTTGTCATTGTGTATTGTGTATTGTGTAGTTGTGTATTGTGTAGTTGTGTATTGTGCATTGTGTATCATGAATGGAGTTGTCATTGTATGCAGATTGTCAAGTTTCATTTTCTTTTTCTTTAAATGTTTTGTTTGTTTTGTTTTGCTTTTTCTTTAGTTATTGTGTCAGGCCAGTGATACCATGTTCTGTGATTGCCCGTAGAAGAGACTTATTCAACAAAATTGTGAGGACATTCCCTGAGCTGTCCTCGCCGGCTTTCGCTGGACCGGGGATGGCGCTGGATTACATAAATCAGATCCATTCAGCCAAGTGTGCAGTGAATGTTCGAGTGCTGGTGGGATTGGCATTTTTCACTTTTCAAGCAGTTCACTTCCCTACTAACGAACTGTTTACAAGTGACAGTGTTTTAATCGTACCTGCAGGAATCTCTTTGAGAAAACTCGTAATTGTCTCTGGTATTTGGCTGACAGCTGACATGGGGTACTTTAGATCAGCCAGCCGTCTAAACAACGGAGTTTCCCCGTAGAAGAAGTAAGACTTGAGCTGGTCATGATCCGAGTTGTTGAGGTAGTTCAGAGGTGCACGCGTCGTCTTGAAGAACGTCATATCAATCGGGCAGGCACCAATGGCTGCCTCTCTTTCTAGCTGTGGACACAAACGTACACACACACACACACACACACACACACACAATGTAGATAACCTATAAATGCTGCACTTTTCTGGCGAAAACTATGACACGCACCTTTTTTCCAAAAGTTTTTGATCTTAATCTTTAGTAAACAGTGCACAATGTACTGTACTGGGCAAAATTTGCTGTATTTCACACAGTTAGCGCAATCTTGCTTTGAGTTGCTATTATAAAAGTGCTTTGTTGTGCGAGCTCCGTAGATGTGGCCTGGTAAGTTGTTCGTAGATCGAATCGTGCATGCATAATAATGTGTGCAAAATCAGAGTTGTAGCACCTAGACCGATCATGGCTGGACCTTATTTCGAGAAGAAGAAAAAGTTGACCATCCAATCTGTTCAAAACGGGGTTTCTTCGTCAGTGATGTTCACTTCTCGTCAAGTACCTCATTTCGCCAGACCATCTGAAATCCAGGTACTATGGCCCTGACAATGTATGTACATGTATAATGTATGCATGAGGTGTGTAGAATGAACTCAATCTCCGGACAGCTAGCTAGCTGTTTCGACCTTGTTAGGTCTTGTCTTCAGACCTCAGAGTCACTGGATGAACCGATCGCAGCGGAGTCTAATGCGCAACAAAGCATCCCAGTCAGATTTCTTTAAATTGCGGTAAACACAGCGAGCTTGCTAGCTTTGAGTGTAATAATATAGTACAAGTATACTGTAGGGAGACAGAGAGTGGGTGCCATCAATCAAGTCACAGTTGATACCTGCACTCTAACCCGGGCCTTTCGCGGCAAGTCCATTCTGGATATGAACTGCATCACATGTGCACCAGGAATCCCAACATCTAGAAAGAAGGCCGCGGGTGTGTTTTGCATGAAACGAAGTGGGTTTTGCTTTCCGGGCTGCCTGGTCCGGTTGCCTTGGGTCATGGCTGGTTCAGGAATCCCAGCCTAGCAAAGTGGGTCCATAAAAAAAGGATACTCTTGCACATTTGCATGCAAAGTCCATGACTTGGGAAGATTCCACAGGTTAATGATACTCGGTAATTTTGTCCAAGGGAAGTCCCGATGGCCGCTAACACCTGCATGAAAGAGCCCACCATAACAACCATGGCAACCCACCATAACAACCATGGCAACCCACAAGAATACTTTCAACAAGAGAGAATATTTCTTCTAGATCTTAGAACTCCCCTGGAAATCCACGCAATTTCTTCCGGAAATGTAAAAACTACGCGTGAGTTCACAATGGTAGCCATGCATAACAATGACATCACAATGATATCACAATGACACCACATTGATATCACAATGACATCACCGTGACAAGTTACGGCTGTACATACCAGTAGTCGTGCCACTGCGGTGTTGAGTACCTCTTGGCCATCGACTAACGGAGTGTCCGGTACCCCTCCACTGCCAACATACGCAACACCCGACAGCAGATTCTCCAGTGCTACATAGTCGTTCACCACAATGGCCTTGTAGCCGTAGTTCACCCAGAACACTCGCTTTGGGTCGGCATTGATGCCGCCACGCTCCGCAAAGTACCACGCCGCATCATTCATACCCTGAATCCATCGCCAGATGTGCGTGATGGTGGAAAGAAACAGAAAATACACTATCAAAGTCAAGTCATTGGCTATAACGATATTGATATGCATGCCCTCTGGCATGTTAAATCCAGATATTTTATTACCCTGCGTGATCATTAGCACTGCCGGTAAATTGTGTAATGCTGGAGGATACTTCAAAATAGAATGACATCTTTTCCCAGTCTTAGGCAAGTTTAATATCAGAACCAAGAGGACAAACTGTGCGGTAACCACTGTTTTCTTTGGCCAGTGTTCTTGCATATTATTATCATTTGTAGTGCATGTGTGTTCTGACACGTAACAGACTAGATAGACATACCCGCCACTTGAAACGAGGCCCGTCGACAAACCAGTAGTTGAAGAGGTTTCCGTACGGGATGTCCTTCACCGCTGCCTCAAACCCACTGAAGCGCAATTTGGCCAGTGGCCCGGCTGCATGTACAATGTAGATGCAGAATAGCATGCACATACAGTGTTGTTTACAGTGTTGTTGGTTGACAGCATGTAACAAGGCGGAGGACCACCGTGTTCGGAAACAGTGACCTCTCTACAGTCCTCCACCTTATCACATGCTGTCAACTAGGGCTGAGTCGGGTAGCATTTTCTTCGGGTATCGGGTAGTTTTCCACGGGTAGCACGGGTACCCGACCGGGTAATGTTTCCATGGCAAAAAAATGGCAACACCACAATGCACCCCTTCCCTTACACACTGGGTAGACATGCGGAGTATTACATGAATTTGCGCCCGTGCACTGTACATGATGTCATCTGCGACTTCGGGTTTTCGCGTACTATTCTGTACCCGTCCACCCGGGCCGAGATCCTCACGGGTAGCGCGGGCACCCGACTACCCGTGCACACCACTGCGTCAACCAACAACATGTTTCAACAAAACAAGGTTTACCTAATGCCATGCACTTGAAATACATGCATGTACATGTACATGCACACAGATGGTGGTGGGTCTTGTCTACTCACCTCCCACCCCTTCAGGAGTTGCACCTACATGTACACCTTGATCCCTGATGGTGCCTTGGTGGTGTTACTGCACATGCGGAAAACTCAGGCTGACTGAGTCTCACGGGAGCCATGATTTCTTTTTCATTTTTTTCATATGTAGATTTTATTTTTTACTTGAAACCACGCACCCAATTCGTAAAAGAAGAAAGAAGCAGGAAATGACAAAACAACAGACTAACAAGACATTGACTGAATGGGGCTGCAAATGCAACGCAGCGGTGGTGATCTATGAGTAGCTTCAAGAGTCCATGGGGTTATGGACTCTTGGTAGCGTTAGTTACTTGTAAGTAGTAGTGTGTGGCTCGACCTCCGCTCCCATGCCACTGCCTGTGCACAGTGCTCCACATGTGTCATGTGCATGTCTGTGCTGCCACCACGGACAAAGGAGTGGTTTTCCGCACAAATGCGGAAAAATACAGAAAGTTGGTGGCACTGGTATCAGTGTGCGTGTGTGTGTGGGTGTGTGGGTGTGTGTGGGTGGGTGTGGGTGTGGGTGTGCATAGTACACTGAATATGCTCCACGCGAAGCCAATAATGTAGCTTATCACTCCCTTAGTATTGACTCACATAGATTTTTGCCATACCTAAGCAGTCAAATATTCCTGCATATATCACTCCTTAGGGCTATATTGACTGCTTATATTTGACTGCTTAGGGGTTGCGCAGTTGAACGGTGCCTAGTGCAGCATTGTCACTGCATGAGTAGGCCGTGGTGCAACGGTTGTGCAATCATAAAACGGGGTTCATGAGGTTATCGTTCTGGAATTTGAAATACGGACTGTTTGTCGTGATAAATCTAATATTGACTTCGTACTTGGTCAGTATAGGAAATAAAAACCTCGTAAAAGACCTCGGCTTCGCCTCGGTCTTTTACTCGGCTTTTATTTCCTATATTGACCTCGTACTCAGTCAATATTAGATACATACGTGTATTATTATTCATTTTCACTGGGCCATGGGCTGTACTGTGGTTGCCCTCCTCGTAAGAAAAGATAATAATAAGTCACAATGGTGAAAAGTCACACTGTGACAGTTCAGACAAACACGCGACTTCTTACCTGCTCCCACTGGGAACAGAGCCATGGCGATGCCTCAGGCAGGCGAGGGCAGGATTGATTGCGACCAGTCTTCCCAAGGCTCCGACCAACCAATCAGCCAACCTAGCACTCTGCGCCACCACCGGACCGTGAGCAGTCAACTCCACTGGCCCACACAGGCGTGGGTGCGGTGTGCTGCTTCGTCCTCCGACTGGTGCAAATCGTCACGGATGATCCCCTCAACAGCACGCAGCGAACAGGTTAGTTCTCTATGGATGATCAAGTATTGATTTCGTTCCCGTCGGAAGAAGAGGTTATCGGCAGGAGGCGTCGTCCCTGGGTAGCTCGACCACTTGGCAAGAAAAAAAAGTCTTTTCGAACGCCTATCCACATCTGTATTGAGTTTGTTGCTTCCCAGCCGAAGCGGCGGCAAAATATCAGCTAAGCGTGTCGCTATTAGCCATCGAAGGTTTCCCAGAGGAAAATTGACCAAGGAAGAGAACTGAGCTAACTGGAAATGCGCTAGGGCAGGGAAGACTCCCTTGCTTTGAAGGTTGTGACTTCCGCAACATGGTACTCGAAGCGTCAGGCCACAGACAAAGGAACTGAAAGCGGCCAAGCATTCAGCCTTTTCAGGCACCAGCCGGCAGCAACCACTTCAAAACGAGTAAAGTCGGAAGACTAAAGCCAAGAGTACTCTTGCTGAAACGCTAGATTGTCGGATTCGCCGGCTCGCAGGTAGAGTCTTCCGCTGCATCCTGAGTGACGTTGAAGCAACCACAGGTAGTCTGAACTAGCCGAGCGCGCCACGGCACTCTCTGGCTGGTTCGGGTGACATTGGTGATGGTTGTAGAGATACCGTTGAAGCAAAGAAAGTAAGAACGCGAGCAAGGCTCGAGGACACACACATTCAGAAAGCATAATTATTGTGGCAACACTGTTGAGTGTTGTCCTTGTAGCCCAGTAACCTTTGATTTTGAAACAATTGTGACTGCTATGTGTCATGCAGATCTACGGACTACGGACAGTGTCAAAATAGGAGTTCCATGCATGTAGATTCTACATGGACATGATTGTATCGCTCTACTGTACTGTAGTCTGTAGATCTACAAACAAAATTAACGTTAGTGCCTTCGTAAGAGGCAAGAGATGAGATGGAACGGTGTCCGACCTTGACTTTGCTTGGCCAGGTGCCTGCCCTAGTACTTCAAGTACCGGTAGTGGTGTGCACACACCAAACATGACTCGGTGTGTAAGATAACAGTAAAACCTGTCAGGGCGACCACTTGTCCTAGACTGAGACCACACTGGAACCAGGACCATGTACCAAGGGATGCTCTTTCCAGTCAATATTGACCCTGGGTAAGGAGACCACCTAGTACAGCTGTACCTGGTAACAGAGACCACATTTCGAAGGTCCCTTGAGCGGTGGTCTGAGACAGGTTTTACTGTGGTACATTCTTGAGTCGTACAACGTACGTGATTTAAGCCTTGCTTGCATGGTAGTTTAAGTTAACATGTTTTTCGATATTGACAGCATGTTACAAGGCGAGGACGCATAGTGCTCCTGACTACAACCACAACCCGGTTGGCAGTCCCGGTCGTGCGACCATTTGAACCGTATTGGGAAAACCCAGGTTCGGACCCTCTTTACTCTAGGGGTTGGTAGGATGTAGAATTTTCTTTTTTTGTCGTGTTGTAGATGTTGTCGTGTTGTAGATGTTGTCGTGTTGCCGCCGCAGTTGTTGTTCACGTTATCGTGTTGCTGACCACGTCTGGAAATGATTTTTTTAAAGAACAAAAGAAAAAAGAAAGATAAATGACAAATTACAGAGAAAGACAAGAAAATAACAACATTACAATCACAAAATCATTTCCAGACATGGTTCCTACAGCGGCAGCAACACGACAACGTGAACAACAACTGCGGCGGCAACACGACGACATCTACAACACAACAAAAAAAGAAAAAATTCTACATCCTGCCAACCTGGGTTTTCCCAATACGGTTTTGTATTGATTTTTTATTTGAATTCGGTATCTCAAATAAAAATCAATACAAAACCATGGTTCAAATGGTCGCAAGACCGGGACTCTGCCAACCGGGTTTATGGTTGTAGTCAGGAGCACTACGCGTCCTCGCCTTGTAACATGCTGTCAAAATCGAAAAACGTAAGTGATTGCAGTCAATGCTAGTGAAGCTAGGATGTGACACCGGTCTTCAACACAACAATACTTTTTAAAAATGCTATACTATTACTAACACCAACAGATCATCCCAATATGCCTAGCCAGGAAAGTGTAAGGTTACAATTAAAATTTGGACACTACTTGAAGTAGGCACATACCGTTTAGTCCACTAAAAGTTAGTGCACGCCCTACTGCATACTGGCTGGTTCACATGAGCACTAGCCATACCATACAACTGGTTTGGTATGGCTCCCTGCTGGCCACCTACAAGAGCGGTACGTATTGCGACGAAGTCCTGGACTTGCCAGTTACCATGGTGATGATGATGGCCTTTCACAGCTTCAAAGCCGATCATACCGCTGAAGACCATGACGGCATGAGCGCTAGGTAAAACCAGGCCTGGCGGAACCAGTCCGGTCAGTCAGGCCATGGCCGGACCAACTTTTTGGCCACCAACGTGTGTTTACTGCTGATGAGATCATGTGTATACCCTCCATATCATACACTAACTGTATCAAAGGTATGTGCCATGTAACTGGGTTCAAGCATTCACAAGAACACTGGAGAAGGAGGCCTCGTTTGTTGGACTACACACAACACCAAGAGTACATAATCCCCAGAGTGTGCAACGCCTGACCCAGCTCTGCATAGGGTCTTGGTCGAGCCGCGTAATCGGATCTTCTGATGCCATGCGTACACTCCACACCAGCGCAAGGCCGGTCTCGAGGCAGGGCACCGTTGTTTTTGATCCGAGAGTACCCGCGACTCCCCGGGTTCCCCTCAGATGTGTACGGGATTATGACGCAAAGATCCGATTACGCTCGATCAAGACCCTATGCAGAGCTGGATCAGGCGTTGCACACTCTGGGGGGTTATGTACTCTTGATAACACCAGTCTTTACTCTTCAGTTATCGGCCACCCAGTGAGTGGAGTTGTGTCCAAGTAATCATTGAGCATTCTGTGATCAATGAGAACTGATACAACTCTGTACTTGATAGCTGGGCTCTATCCAGGGTCAACAATACTCAACATGTGGATGCTGGGGCCGCAGGCATAGCCGATGCTGAGCCGGCTTTATGCAGGGTACTTTATACTGCAGTTTCACTGTAATGAGCCGGCTTTGCCGTACATTAGAATTCAATGTGATCGGTTCATCCAGCAGCTCTGAGCTCCGCTGACGAAACAACGTTGAAATATGCAGCTGTCCGAAGATGTTCACAGCTCATGTGAAACGTCCCCACTGGCACACAATACAATCCACAGCTATCAAAACTCGGGGATTTGTACACAACTGCGAGATCTGTGTCATGGCAACCTTGGACATAGCATGCCTGTACTCATTCCCATGGCACAGTACATGTATAGAAGAGTACGTTTTTTTTTGTAGACAGCCTTCTAGGATAGTTCTGGCCGGAAAAATCCGACATGAATAAAGTAAACTCTATGTGGACTTGGAAACATAACCACCTTCTTGGCACAGCGGTGCAGTGAGTGAGGACATTTCAGTGCAGAAGATTAATGGCAACAGAATATTCGTCCCGGGTGCAATTACCCATCCTCCAAAAAATGTGCTGGCTACACACACACACACACAGCATTGGTCTGGTCATGTATTGCAAAAGCTAGGATAACTTACTCTACATCGTTCTTAAAGTTGACACAAACTGTAAACCTGCGCTCATAGCTGGCCTGTGTACACGGTATACGGTTAGGCTTTCACAGAAACTTCCGTATTTTAGGTCGTGCGATGCCTTTGAGCACAAATTTGTTGACCCCGCTAGTCAAAGTGACTGGCATGTATGCCAGTACGTGCCTGATACACCTTGAAAATTGCAACATGTTGGAATTTCCATTTTGGCACGTTTCCGTATGCGAGACGACCCGAAGCCAGCAAACATGCACACAAACACGTAGCTTCACGCGTATACGTGTCAGCTGCGAATAGTTTTCAACGCTTTTTGCACAATATACCCACCCACTTTAGGCCCAACTACAATCTACATTATGAGTGTTTACCAGCACAGAATTCTGCAGAGCTGGAAATATAACATTCACAAATGAATATAGACATGTGCGGGGGCGTCGACCGATCGGTTCACGGCGTGTCGGAGTGCCAGGCTCTGCTACCAGTTTTGCTGGAAAACAGAGCTTTGCTACTGTGGACCGATACGGCACACGGTATGCACGCCCTAGCAGATTAGTAGGCGGGAACGCATCAAATGCACCCCCGCGGCCCTAATACATACATGCCGTTTCTGCAGATTTCATCCCCGTTTGAAGAACAGATGTTGAGTGTTTTATGTGGTGTCCCAGAGTAAACAATAAAACAGTGATCATATCAAAAGCACACATCGCTATGCTATGCTAGCAAACACCCAAGCAGAGAATACGGCCCGGGATACATCGTAACTAGCTTTCTGCAGGAGTATGACCATGAGTGAGACACACGCCACATACTGACACCACCAGGACCAACTGCACAAACGCATTCAGGGTGGTTGCCTTGCCTTCAGATTTGGAAAATTATGAAAAAATGTGTACATGGAGGCTGGTTGTGAGACACTGAACAGAAGGCAAGCATGCACCTTGATATATCAATGCATAGTCCCAAGAAACAGCAAGATGACGCTGTATAAATTAAGTCTCTAAAAACACACACATGACTTTACTACAAGCAGTAGCTGACCGCCAGAGACGATTTCCACTCCAGCACAGCATTGCGCACATCATCCACATGAGAAGACTTTCTCCACATCCACGTCTATTTTGTAGGGTAGGCGATCAGCTGGCGCTTTCCAATGACTTCTCCGACGTAGAACCACATTGCAATCTCAATGGCGATCAGGGTATTCTGTGCTGCACGACGAACTGGAGTGTTTGCGAACGTCGGGGCTTTGGCGAACAGCGCCTGGGCTTCCCTCTGAACAGCACCGAAGTCGGTCGGTGGTCCAAGTTCACGCTTGGCATGGCCCCAGAAAGTCTCCAAGTGGGGACGAGCAAAGTTGACGAGCCTGGTGCCACGAGTGGCAAAGGACTTCGCTACTGCAGCCATTTCAACTTCAGTCGAGAAGAAACGTATTCTCGCCTGCAAAATTCTCTTGTCGCCTTGCTTTTTGACTTGGCTTGAATATCTGTGGGTCTTCGATGACGCACAGCTGCACAGCTAGCTAGCTTGCTTATGCATTGTTGCTATGCCGTTCTCGTGCCCAGAAAACGCACACACACATTTTACACAAGTCACACTGATCAATCATTTCGCTACACCGTGACGTCATAATTATGGCTTTCTTTTGAATCGATCAATCAGTTTTGTTTTTTCATCTGCGAGCTGCATGGTTGCCTTCATTGTTGTTCCTGAACTTTCTCAGACCTCCTTGCCTGCGAGACGTCGACATGGCATCTGCCACCGTTTGTGCAACCCAAGAGGAAGAGGAAGATGCAACTATTCTTCGCTTTCCCAAAGGTGCAGCGGAATGTTGCTTTTGTAGAATAATACAACTGCTTTTTCTGACGTCGATTACTCTTTTCCTGGTTTCTTGCAGAATTCACTGGAACGGAGACATTGTTTATTTCGGAAGTGAACCTGCTACTGGAGCATCGAAAATCCCAGAACGAGAATGCAGACGATGATCAGGAACTTTCTGAGGTCTTCCAGAAAACGCTGGAGTACACACAGAGATTCAGTCGATTCAAGAACAGAGAAACAATCCAAGCTGTTAGAAGGTACATCTAGATCTGCATGTTACACTTTATGCAATGGTGGATTTTGCTCATGTGCATGTATGTACATGCATTCACGTGGCCGTGTGTACATCAACTTCCTTTTGCAGTATTGGCCGATGAAATACCGAATGAGCCTATTCAATCCAGTCAACGTCGTGAATAACAATCTCCGATGTGCTTCAGTAACAGCAACACGCTTCAGGCCTAGTAGTAACAGTTGACTGCATGCTTTCAATTACAACCTCGCAAATAACCACGAAACTGTATCAACACTTTTCTGATGCCTGATCAGGTGTCGTTATTCACTAGGTCGACTGTAGATATTCTTAGCACAATACTTGGGAACGTGTGACTGCAAACAATCATCGCGTCCGTTTTATCTTACACTCCGGCCAAAACCTTGATGCTTTTGTGTGGGGATCACAGCTAGTGCACCTTTTGTTCGGCTTGCTTGTCACGGTCATGTGGTATTTGCAGTTTGTATAACACACAGATGACCTAGGTATAAACAAAGCATAGCGAGGGCTCCTGGGCTTTCAAGCCCTCTCGTTTCGACAACCCATGTGTGTCTATGTCATGACCGAGTTTAAACTAATGGTGGTCCATTCATCAGCCTTGCAAGCTGTTGAATAGGAGTACTACAAGTCGTAATCCCAGCACAACATCTCATGTCTAACACATGCTTGTTTGCTATTGCCGCTTTGGCGAGACGTGTGTGTGTGTGTGTGTGCGCGCGTGCGTGCATGTCTGGATATATGGGCGTCCATTTGTGCTGCTGCATGGTTGAATTTTCAAAGCGGTGACCCATTGTGTATGTGACCCCTGTTCCAGCCGCTTAACTCAGCAACAGAACCCGGAGCTGCACAAATTTGAGAAGGCACAGCTGGCTAATTTATGTCCCGACACTGCAGAAGAAGGAAGATCTCTCATTCCAAGGTAAACTTTCTTTTGTTGGCTCATGCAGTTTTGTATAGTTTGTATGCAAAAATTGATACTGTACCCATGAGCTTGTTCGATCAACCCCGTTGGGATTTCTTTGCTTGAGGTAGTTCGCTACAATTTCATCCATTGACACAGTTTTGTGATCACTTTTCACAAAAATGTTATTTTCCTTCTTTGTTGTACCCGCGGAAACAGTTCGAAAAGAACACTGCTTGGCACAAAGACAAAAGTCGACGGGGTGTTCTGAACACAAGTCTCAAAAGGAGATCATAACGACTGGCGATAGAACAGCGGAAAGGGAACACAGTGTGCGAACAGATAACTACTTGGTCCGCCCAGTTAAAATTGGCGCTTATCTTCTCACTTGGTTTTTTGGTGTTCCGCCTGTGCCATACGGCATGGAACCACCGATTCACCATCCGAACATGACCATTGACCATTGCATCCGACGACATGGCAGCACAAACCATCACAGAAGTTGCGATCAGTTCGTTTGAGTCTTTTTGACGGAGCTGCCGCCGACGAACACTTCCGTCAGCGCAAGAAAACACTGCAACCTCCGCTCGAGTCCGTAAAATAGGTCAGGATGTTCGCATTTCAGAGCGATGGAGAATACAGTTTCTGTCTACTTCCAGCTGTCTGATGGCAAGGATTGTTTACTCCGGGGAGGTATAGAAAAGCTGAAAAAGCGCTTCGCGAGCTTGAATTTCAGTGCTTGCACAGTACAGCCCCTAGTGAAGGGCTATCACCAGCAAATCGCTGACGAAGAAACTGCAGCTCATGTCGATGTCTCCAGTAAGTGAGACCAATCCGGCGGACACACTTTGAAGCTCACAGAGGACAGGGCAAAGGAGCTAATCAAAGGAAACACCAAGTCCTGAGAGAAACACTCGTGCAAAGGACTTTCAGGAAACTAGCCGAAATGCCTGGTGCACGGCGTTGTAGGTGCAGTACGCACAGGTGCTACATCAAGCGGAAGCTATCACTGCGCTGCATGTACAAGCACCAGCGGCTCGCGTGGGTACGGGTGCTGATCAGCAAGTCCGACAAGGGCAAGAGGCGATTTGAAAAAAGGACACTGATATGGCGTTGCCTTTTTGTCTCAAACAAAGTCGCATTATTGCGACGAACGGGGATAACACTTACAGTCAACATGCGGGCAGTCTCACTCAGCTTCTGATGGGAAGGTGACAGGCACGCACTGCCTTTGAGCGTGATTCGAGACGAGGAGAAGTGGAACAAGCTATGAAACGACCTGTGCAGCAGCTGTCCGGATCGTACGTTTTGAGCTCTTCCTCCAGCGACGATAGTGGCGAGGAGGATGTGTAACTTGCTTGAATTTTCGACTGAGTTGCTTACTGACATGTAAATAATCATGTATATAGTGCTTTGTGATCGTGGTTTGCTTCAAATATTAGTATTTCTTTCCTGAGACAAGTGTGAAGATAAGCGCCAATTTTAACTGGGCGGACCAAGTACTTCTCAAGAACTCAAAGAGATGCTCCAAGGACAAAAGAACACAGATGCACAGAAAGTATCCGATCATCCGCCCAACATCATAGAACAACTTCCCGCTGCTATAAAAACTCCGGGTGACAGACCTATCACACGACGAGGAGACATTTAATCTGGCCGCCTCTCTCTACAATGAGGCCCTCCACGCCAGTGGATGTGAAGAGGGGGTTGAATATAAAAGCGAACGGAAAGAAGGGCGGAACAAGAAGTGGAGAAACCATCAGCGCAACATCACGTCGTTCAACCTTCCGTTCAGCAAAACGTACTTAGAAATGTGGCCGGAAAATTCTTACGTCTTATTGATAAACACTTACCGAAAGGCTCACCACTCAATAACGTATTCAACAAGAACACAGTCAAGGTCAGTTGTAGCTGTATGCAAAACGTACGGAGCATTATCAATGGCAATCGAGTTCTCACGGCGACTACAAGCCAGCCACAACCCCCCCCTGCCAAGACATGTAACTGCCGTAGCGCCGCACAATGCCTCCTTGATGGTGATTGCCTGTCGAGATCAATAGTATACCAAGCAACAATAAATAAAAAAACGGTATCAGAACAAGACTGAACTGTCAAATCATGTGTGGAACCTGAAGCGTGCGGGGACGCCATTCTCTGTTCGGTGGCATGTTCACACAAGGACACAGGCGTATTCCAACAAGTCGAAAAGGTGCAACCTATACAGAATCGAGAAGCTTACTGTATTGAACAATGCCAACAGCCCGAAGAGCCTGAACAGAAGAAACTAACTAACTAGTGTCAAAATGCCGCCATGAAAACGAATATCACATAAAAAAAATACTTCACACCTAGCATGACATAGTAGAACAAGTAGCAGCCAGTCGCAGCTGCCGCGCAAGGACAGTGCCTGGCACAGTCATGAATGGTTTGGCATACATCAGTGCTAATATATTTACCATCACAACTATGACTGGTTTAGCATACGTCAGTGCCAACATTATCCCATTACTCATCCCTCACATCATCCATAATGTCTGTGTTATATATTGGCCTTCATTCGTGAATCGCGTGGAGTAATGACAATCTAAGCGCCAAGTATCACGCATGATCTTATTCAAATGGTTAGTCTTGTTTTTTTTGTTATCAGTCGTCTGATGATTGCAGTGGCATGAAACTTTGTGCTACGACAAATCCAAACTGGCCTATTTCTCTTTTTTTCATATCTATCTATCTATCTATCTATCTATCTACCTCTTTATCTCTATCTCCGCTTTAGGAACTGCACCTGCGCCTTAGATCTGTGCAGGGTGGTGGCGTTGCTACGGATGCTGAAAACTCAGTCTAACTGAGTCTCAAGCGAATCTTGAATTTCTATCTATCTCTGTCTCTCATCTCACCATTTACGTGCCTGTCTATCTGTCTGTCTGTCTGCAGTTTGGAAGGCCGTCTCGATGATGGTGAGCTCCAAGAATTGCTCGACGATCTGCAAACGCATCGTGACCACCAGGGTTAGAGACAGTGCTCTTTAGTCAGGAGTCCTGAAACTGCCCAAGTATTTCCACCATGGCATCACTGTGCTTGCAAAGATAAGGAAACTCACTGTTGTAGGTGTTCGATGTGTGTGTTGTCTGCTACACTGTAGAACACCTGATTTGGGCTGGCTTTTTTCTGTAAATATGTCCAATACTTGCTGTATATACTTCATGCTGTCCGCTAGTGTACATTTCGCTTCATAGGATTGTATATTTTTTAGGTATGCTCTGTTTTATCCCTTAGACTGGGCTCTGTTTAGTTTGGGTGTGAATGCTATCCTCAACCAGCATTCCGTGTTTTGTGCTCCTGAAGAAAAAAATCTGTCGTGCTGCAAGTGCGTTGTGTTGTTGCTGGAGCTGTAAATGTTTTTTGATGTCTTTTGCCGTGTGGCACTATACATATTTTGCCATTCCTAGCGGTATACTGTCTGTAGAGCTTCAACAAAGCCGCCCAGCCTGATGAATGTATCAGGGTGGCGTATTGTGTGTAAGTAGGCGTCAGAAGAAGAACATTGTCTCTGATGTGTGGAGGTACTAGTTGTGCATGGGGTTGAGTGGCAGCAAAATCCAAACGTTCTAGTAGGCAAGGGTGATTCGTACTGAATTGTGTAGGCTGTGTGACATTTGCTGGCAGACAAGTGCTCGCCTTGTGCACATACAATGTGTATCTGTTGCTCTCACTGTCTGTCCCACGTCCACCTGTGTGTACATCTACAGTAGAGTCGCGCGCCCGAAAACGTTGTTTCCAAGGGGTTAGCCTGGGACGTTCTTATTTTGTCAGCAATCTGGCTGCGGTCTTATAACAGTTCTTAGAAACAATCCGTCCTGGATAATATGTATCCCATAAGCTGCCAGAAAACCAACACCGCCGCCGTTCTTAGCTTTAGGCCGTGGCGTTATTAGAATTTCGGGCTGGACGTTCTTCGGCTCCACGTTCTTCAGCGCGCGACTCTACTGTACTGCCATTTACTGCTGGTGCGATACGTTGGGATTTTGCCGCGACCAACCTCGATGCAGACAGTGATGTACAAGTGCATACACTCTGGGTTGCTGGTAGGTGGTATGTACGAAAACTGTGTTTATTGGCGTACAAGTATTTAGACAAAGGAAAGGAACATTATGGATCAAAGCAAAATTATTAGAATCTGATACTGGTGATAAGTGTGGGTATTTTATGAAGGTCAATTGCAACAATCTCTCCTCCATGCGCTCTAAAGCCGACCATTACTGTTGCCCCCGTAGGCGACGTTGGCGACAAGCAACACCCGTCGTATGCAACTTTAGGGTTCACGGATTGGCGCATGGCATGCTAGCGTCGCCAGCTACATCATGCACGTGACAGGCGCGTGCATATGTTCCGGCCCGTCCGTCGATTCTGCCCATCCTAAGATGGGCAGGGTGGCCAATGCCCATCCTAGGATGGGCCAGGCGAATCTCGGATCGATCGATCGAGGTGGCATCGATGTTGTAGTTTGACGTTTACGTTTATAATCGCCTTTTATTACGTGGAGGAGCTTTCATGTTCATCGTCCATTTTCGGAAAATGTAATTGTTGTTTTCGACATGTTAGGAGAGGAGACGGTATGGTTTTCTAAATATCTATGTTTGTTTTGATGTTTTGATACTTGTTGCTAGTGATCTTGCAAACTGTTACTGTGACTTCTCCAAGTCCTACTGATATACCTTGTCAAATCAGATGCCCTGTAGTCTTGGTGGAGGCGAAGTGGTATGCATTGAATTCGTAGCTGCTGAAATTGAAATTTATTTTTTCTGGAGTGACACTGGCAAGCGATGGCATTGGCGACAGAAGAACTTTGCTTCCTTCCAGGAGAGCTGCATCACAGTCGGATCCTGTCCATGCACATGCGATCATGCTGTATTGTACTTGTAGACATTCGGGAGCTGATTTTGACCCGAGAAAATATTAATTTTTTAAACATTCATGAAGAGGATATTGTTGCTGTAGCTAGCTGACAGACATAACCTGTGGCAGTGGTGTATGGAATCAGCTTGCAAGGTCTGTAGCAACTCGATCATGCAGAGAAGGAGCTGAACTGCTCACGCACTCGCTACTGCTCTCGCAAGATGATAAGATTGGCTTCTCTCCAGTGATCCAGCCCCCCTCAAAGCATGGATCCACTGCACTTTGTCGTCGAACACATCAACACGCCTGTTGACGTACACTGGGAAAGGTATCACTTCACGATGAGGAGCACACAGCACTCGTGGAGGCTTGTGCTGGGTGAGTGGCTTCTCTCCAGTGATGCAGGCCACCTGGAGGCATCGGGCCAAGTGCGTTCTTTGCCGCAAGGGCCATATCAAAACAGCAACACCAGCAATGCCACGACTTCCTGACTTCAAGACAACTGGACCACATCAGTCATCTGCCATAGTTGGTGCCGGCTATGTCATCCCGTTCTATGCACGCCAGGGTCGAGATCGGTCACAACTCAAAGAGATCTGTATGTGTGTTTACATGTTCCTGACTAGGGCTTGTCATTTCGAGGTTATCTCTGGACAACGACGGTTTTCTCCTGGCTCTTAGACCCCGATTCACCATGCGACGTCGTGTGCCACAAGAGATGCAATCGGACAACGGTACCAATTTTCTTGTTGCTGATCAAGAGGTAAAAGCAGCTGTCAAGTTTCTCAACTACTCCAGACTAGCAGCAGAAAGGTCATACCGCGACATTACCTGGTACTTCAAGCCACCAAGTGCACCACACTTTGGTGGTGTGTTCTAGGTAAGGGCCAAGGCAATGAAACGACTGCTGCGAAGAAGACCTTCAGCTGCTATTGCCACAACACTTTCTCACTGGCCATGCTAGGGCAACTATTGCTGCTGAAGCCAACACATCTACAATTACTCAAGTTCACCCGAGGAAGTGCTGGGAGTTTGTGCAACGTATTGTAGATCAGGTATGGAAACGTTAGCTGAAAGAGATTGTTCCCAAGCTGGGCATCCAGGTAATGTGGTTGCTAGAACAGCGTAACGCTAAGAAAGGAGACATCGTGCTTGTGATGGATGAGCACACAGCAATTGCACACTGGCCACTTGGACGTATGCTTATGACCTATCCAGGTAAGGATGGTGTTGTTCGGATAGTAGAAGTTTAAGCTGGGAAGGTATTCAAGCATGCAGTTCATCATCTTGAGCCACTGGAAGTTAAAGGTGCAAGTACTGGGCAAACTGTGATTGTTTTCATATTCATAGTAAAGAAAAGACCAATGAACTACAAGCTATGCTGTTGCCCCCTAGGCGACAAGCAACACCCGTCGTATGCAACATACTTTGTATTCACTGCTACACTTTCTGTAGTCTGGGCTTTATGTATGACTAACACTACTATTGATGTATTGACTTTCAGTCGGCTCCAGTTACAACTGCCGGTACACATGATACATGAGCTGTCTGACCCCTTTCATGCATTCGTATGCAGCTGTCACCTAACACCGGCACCTTTTGTCATCTACTAGTATGTATCATTTGCCGCTACGCTAGGATCGGGATGGTAGTCTGTGATCCGTAGGCGTAGATCGGTGCTTGTTTTCCTTGGTGTGTGAGTTTTAGGTTCCTGCTTCGGTGGTGCAGGTTATTGGACTTGTTTTAGTTGAGTTAGCTGTTTGGCACGAGAATGAAAGAGTAATAACACAGTCTTCTTATAGTACAGTAACGACGTTACGTTTGTGGAATGGTGAATCAAGACGAGAGGTAGAAACATATGCTATAATGTCCACTAACACCACCAGTTCCTTGACGATCAGCTCATGCGATAACATTGCACGAAACTGGCCGACAGTACTGATGTTCAACAACTAACTGGCTATCAGCTCTAGCATATCTTGTAGGTCCTTGGTCCTTTTCTTTCCATCCAAGTTTTCATATCCAATTGCCATTGTTTTTGTTGTGTTTTTTCTTCTTGTTGTCTTCGTCTTTTACTCACTCATGTGCTCTTTATCACTTTTCCTTCACGAGGGAGGTATGGTAGATTGATTCTCCTATTTCTGTGTAATTTACATGTACTACTGTGTTCGATGGTGATGAACCACGATGCATTGATTATCATGAATGCATGTGACGTGCGTCATAGATAGATAGATCTGGTTTCTATGGCTGGCGTCTATTACGCCTGACTGCTTTCCGCCTTAGGCTTGCATTCACAACGAAACGTACTATTATTTCTTCACGGCCACATGCATGTACGATGCAATGCTGTTATGTCGTTGCCTGTTCATACTGTCCTGGAGCTGGAAGAACCCGCTAGTCTTACTTCTTCTACTTTTAGTTGTTACTATCTTGCCTAAGTGGGCAGTTTTAAAAATGTTTGCAGCGGTTGTGCTTCGGTTTATAGTTATATCAAGGAACGTTAGAACATACGGTTCTCTGTGATTGTTCTTCGAAATAGTGTAGATGAGTGCTTGTAAGACCACAATATAGCGAATGCAACACACTGCATGCTGGAACTAGCTGGTCGCACACATGCGCTCTTAGCCACAACAACAAATAGCACCCGAACATATACCCTCCAGTTGCATGAGAATAGTGTTGTACATCAGCAGTACTACATGTACTAGTTCAATATTCTATCACAACGCAAACCAAAAAGCATGATGGGAAGAAGGGATCAATGTTGAGAGGGGGGGGGGGAGAGAGAGAGAGAGAGAGAGAGAGAGAGAGAGAGAGAGAGAGAGAGAGAGAGAGAGAGAGAAAGAAAGAGAAAGAAAGAGGGAGAGAGAGAGAGAGCGAGAGAGATACAGTGTACGTTAAGATGCGTGTTGAGATGTTCAACGACAAAGTGCAGTGGATCCATGCATTGTGAGTGAGTGTGTGTGTGTGTGTGTGTGTGTGTGTGTGAGAGAGAGAGAGAGAGAGAGAGAGAGAGAGAGAGAGAGAGAGAGAGAGAGAGAGAGAGAGAGAGAGAGAGAGAGAGAGAGAGAGAGATGGATCCATGCATTGTGAGTGAGTGAGAGAGAGAGAAAGGGAGAGAGATACAGTGTACGTCAACGTGCGTGTTGAGATGTTCAACGACAAAGTGCAGTGGATCCATGCATTGTGAGTGAGCGAGTGAGAGAGAGAGAGAGAGAGAGAGAGCGAGAGATACAGTGTACGTTAAGATGGGTGTTGAGATGTTCAACAACAAAGTGCAGTGGATCCATGCATTGTGAGTGAGCGAGTGAGAGAGAGAGAGCGAGAGAGATACAGTGTACGTTAACATGCGTGTTGAGATGTTCAAAGACAAAGTGCAGTAGATCCATGCATTGTGAATGAGTGAGTGAGAGAAAGAGAGAAGGAGAGAGAGAGAGAGAGAGAGAGAGAGAGAGAGAGAGAGAGAGAGAGAGAGAGAGAGAGAGAGAGAGAGGAGAGAGATACAGTGTACGTCAACGTGCGTGTCGAGATGTTCAACGACAAAGTGCAGTGGATCCATGCGTTGTGAGTGAGTGAGCGAGTGAGAGAGAGAGAACGAGAGAGAAAGACAGAGAGGAGAGAGAGAGAGAGAGAGAGAGAGAGA